AAATTACCTATCTTGCGAACAATCTCATAGTTCTCCAGCACACCCCAAGAAATGTTGACACTGTCATAGTCCCAATAGGACCGAGGCATATGCTCGTTGACATCGGCGTAAACACGCGCCATGATGATCGCAGATGGCTTCCGAGCCCGCGCCCACAATCGAGATATGCGGCGGGGTCACGCGGGGGTGCGCCCGGGTGACAGTGAGAGGGATGAGGGGGGGGGGGAGGTCGGGGGGAAGTCTTGACACAGAAATAAAACAGACGCGGCAGGCCCAACAACTGGCCAGCTCAAACACAGCCGTGCTATCAAACGTCCTAGAGCAATGGGTTATTAGAGGTGGTTTAATTCTGATGCGAGCAGATCTGATGTTCCGTTGTCACGTGGAGAGCCGGACCAATGTAGTTAATCCGACCGGAGACACTATTTCTCCGAACTGAATTTCTGCGGGAAGCGCGATTTCCCTTTTTGGACAGCTTAAGTCACTTGAACTTCGCGCTGTTCTTTTGCTTTTCCTTTGGCTCTTCTTTGCGCCCGGTGGCGTCTTTAAAAGACCCTCTCTCCCTGCCCATCATGTTCTTTGATCTTAATGTCCCTTACAGTCCAGATGACTCTGACGTTCCTCATACCTTGAATTTCCTGGCAGAACGTAAGTCATTCTGCCGACAACCAGCACAAGATCTAGTGCTAGGCCACATGAGGTACTAACCTGACCCTGCAGTTGGTTACACTACGGTCGCCTTGTCTCAAACAATTAATGGAAAGCTCCCTGCAAGCATTTCCCCGCCGTCTCTCCCGCCAAACCCGCCTAAATCCCTCCAACTGCTGACCCGGCTCAACCTGACCTTGTCCGATCCCGCGCAGAACCAGCGTCTGGCTAATTTGACCCAGGCGTACGATCTGGTTGCCCTCCGTCCGACAAATGAAAAGGCTTTGCTCAATGCCTGTACCAACCTGGAATGTGATGTGATCTCGCTTGATCTATCAGTTCGTTTGCCGTATCATTTCAAATTCAAAATGCTGTCGGCTGCTATATCACGCGGAGTCCGACTTGAAATATGTTATGGCCCCGGAATCACAGGAAGTGGATTAGATGCTCGCCGGAATCTTATCGGGAATGCTACCGCGTTGATCAGAGCCACACGAGGCCGCGGTATTATTGTGTCCAGTGAGGCCCAAAGAGCCCTGAGCTTACGAGCTCCGTGGGATGTGATCAACCTGGCCTGTATCTGGGGACTTTCGCAGGAGCGTGGCAAGGAGGCGATCTGCGAGGAATCCAGAAAGGTCACGGCTCTTGCTAAGCTGAAGCGGACCAGCTGGCGGGGCATTGTCGATATTGTCCATGGCGGGGAGAAGGTGGAACGCCAGAAATCTTTACCGAAGCAGAAGGCGCCCACAAAACCCGACACCCCAGTCGAGCCTAGTAATGGGGCTGATAGTTTGAAGCGGAAGGCCTCACTGGGATCTGAACCAGTCGAAGAACCCGAAAAGGCACTTTCAAAGAGAGAGATGAAACGCCGGGCCAAGAAGGCCCGATTTGAGTCACGAGGTGGTGATCCAAGTGACACCTGATTACGAGATGTTTCCCTTATCTTATTACCAACACCGGAATTTGCTTCTGTCTTGCCGAGCAAAGAATCTTGGGCAGTCAGATGCACATCACGAAACATTCTCCGATCGAGAGACTACCGCAGCCGACTGCATGGATGGCTATCCTACTATCTGCACGCCATTTTGTTCCCCAGAGAGCGCTTTCTAAGTCCGCTTATGATTCATTGGCCAATATCGACAGTCGGCCGCTGTACTGCATGTGGATCAAAGGGGGAAGTACTGCAGGACTTCAATTAGTAGTCTGCTCAGGATCATGCAACTGGTAACGATTACCATCCTGACACTTTTGCATATGAGTTACCCACAGATATATTTCTCCTATATCTAGCTTCACTTGGAGAGGTCTTGAGTCTCCAGGACTCTCTCTGACTGATTGAGCCTCTCGGTAGGTTGCCTGCCAATAGGCAGTCATATCTGATTAAGCCAGCCTTCTGGATTGGCCCACACAATTATTCAGATACCAAAGAATTGTTCCTCAACAAAATAGTATGATGAATATTGATCTGCTACTCTGAATATTCAAGCTGTATATGGCATTGCCGCAAAGGTTTTATGTTTCCTTTTCCAAGTGACCATGATGTTATGCCACTGCAGTGTTGGAAAATACATTGTCCTGACAATCTAGTAGTAGTAATAACAATATTGTATTTCCATGTCTGGGGATATCTTCTACTGCTTGGTTAGGTGATTGATACCTACTACCAGGGCTTATACTAGTACATCTAGTATGTATTTCCTATTGTCCAAAGCGCCCCTGTATCTACGTCTACCTCGTATTACATTAAGTAATAATCTCACCAAATACAAGAATCAAATCTCTCTAGATGTCAGTCTTTCACTCGATATTCCAGGTATCCAGGGAGTCTTTATCTCCCGGTCTCGCTCTTCCGGGCAGTAATAACTTGAGAAGTTCTGATTATCTGGGCATTAGTCCTACAAAAACCGCCCTTTCCCTTTCGGGTGTTCTCCATCACCGGGTTGCAGCTTTGAGGGCAAGTATGCCAAATTTGTATACTACAGTCACATATGGACTTCGCACTATGGCGATGAAAGCGAGACGGTTTCCATGGTTTCTGAATAAATTTAGTATCTTCAGTACTATTACAAGCCTTGGAAAGTTTTAGGTTCATTAAATCTTTAACAAAAAAGGATTTTCAGCTACTGTGACGTTTGTACGTCTACGTCATTGACCATCTCCAAGGATATTAATAGGGTGGGGCTATGAATACTATGTTCCTGACAAGGCGTAGAAACCTGATTTTATAGATCACCCCTGGATACAATAATCCTCCCACTTATTTTTCTAATATTGTTTCTAACAATTTACATTATTTGACCTTAAATTCAGCCAGACCACTGCTCACTCTCGGCATCGAAGTACTTTAATCCAAAATGAGCTCCTTTCTGCGTATCCCATTGCGGCTACGAACGCCGACCTCAATTCCTCTCGGTCGCAACTCGATCAACGTCTGCGGCCAACGAGCATACGTCCACGACACTCCCCAGAAATTTTCAAGAGCAAATGAGCATGACCTGGAAGAGAAATGTGACCGCGGAAACACTCCCAACCACCCAATTCCCTCCAACAACGCCCACCCAACTCTCCGCGACGGCAGACAGTCAAATCTAGCCGACATAAGCGGTGTTAAACATGAGGATTTACCAGAAGACGTGCGGAAACACAACGAAGATATCGAACACCGATATGATCGATGCTACAACCATATCGGAGATGAAGGAAAGATCGAGAAGGCTTTCGAGGAGAAATGAGCGTCTCTAGGGGCCTTCATCAAGGAATCCCAAGTGTGGAATGCAATATACTTGTACTGTCTAAGAGGCATATTATGCACAGTCACTGCGGCACCTAATTGCCCATCACATATTTACCTGGAGTTGTCAGTGCTTCAGATGCCAGTGTATATATAGTGGCATTTTTATGAAATCACGAGCTGTTTGAGTGAGAACCTTGGAAACGGACGATTGAAGGACAAGATAAATCTACCTGTGTAATTAAAAGAGGGGTGTGTGCCTCGCGAATGCTATGGTCGCCGCTCCAACAACCGTTTTTTCCCCCACCTGGACAGGTAACCAAAGCGCCAGAGTGCTGGAGCCATGAATTCTACGCTATTTGGCGATGAAAACCATGGTTTCCAAGTGGTGACTAATCTCGCGCCAATCACTCAGCTCGTTCTCCCGCCCGGTACGATTGAGTGGCTAGTGGAGGGGAAGGCTCAGCTTGGCTAACTTGCGTTATAGTAGAAACACCGGAAACACCGGTCAGTCCCCTATCCACAGTTCCATTCAATCTCGATCCAGATTTCGTGGAACGTAGCGTTTTACTTGATGAGATTCACGAAAAGTGCTCTAAACCGGGATCTCGAGTAGCCCTTGTTGGTTTGGGTGGTATCGGGTAGGTCGAACACGGCCGTGTTTACACATTGCGCTGCTAATATCAGAAAGCAAATCAAAGCTAGCTATTGAATACTCTTATCGCATCCGAAATCAGTCACCAGAGGCATGGGCTTTTTGGATTCATGCCAGCAACACTATCCGAATTGAGAGAAGTTTCCAAGAGATTGCAGATCGGGTGAAGATTCCAGGACGGCAAGACCCAAAGGTCAACATATTCAAATTAGTCTCGAACTGGCTCCAAGATGATACAACTGGTCGATGGATTTTGATAGTTGATAATATTGATGATGATTGTCTTCACGAACCCCCACCAGTGACCATGCAAGATACAGACAAAGACCATATAACTGGCTTGAAGCAACCGATCTTAACATTCTTACCTTGAGTTCCACACAGCTCAATCATCTTCACCACTCGAAGAGCAGGCGTGGCGTTGAAACTTGTTGATGAAAGAGATGTTATTGTGATCGACCCAATGGAGAAGCCTCATGCACTTGAATTGATGCAGAAGAAGCTTGGAATAGAGACAGACAACGGATGCACTATGAGGCTCCTAGAATCACTCGAGTTTATGCCGCTTGCAATTATACAGGCAGCAGCCTATATAAGACACAGAGCGCCACGTTGCTCAGTACCACAATATTTGAAGGAGTTCCAGGAGAGCGACCAAAAAAGAATGAGACTTCTGGGCTATGAAGCTGGGCACCCTCACCGGGATTCAGAAGCAAAAAATTCAATAATTATTACATGGCAATTATCGTTTGCTCATATCCAAAAAATAAGAAATTCGGCGGCAGACCTTCTCTCGCTGATGAGCTTTTTTGATCGACAGGGAATATCGGAGAAGCTTCTCGCCCATCGACGCAATCAGCTGACTCTCGAACGGGCGGCAGTGACTCTTTAGAAGATGTTACCCACGATGATCAGGGCAGCGAAGCAGAATATGAAGCACTTCAAAGCTTTGAGGATGATATCGCCATGCTGAGAGAATTTTCATTTATCTCTGTTGGCGATAATGGGTCAGTATTTGAGATGCATGGCTTAGTTCAATTGGCCACGCGGAATTGGCTAAAGTCTACTGGAGCAATGGAGAAATGGAAGCGGCGGTTCATCGATATTCTTTCGACGGAGTTCCCTAGTGTGGAATACGAAAACTGGAGAACATGCCAAAGGCTTTTCCCACATGTTAGGTCCGCGGCACTGCAACGCCCGGAGTCAAGAACCGACCTTCGTGAATGGGCTTCACTTCTCCACGAAGGGGCAAGGTATGCATGGAGAAGAGGCAACACAGCAGATATGAGTAAGATGGCAACAATGGCAATGAAGGCGCGAAACTATCTGCTAGGACCCGAGCACGAGGATAGTCTGAATAGTGCTGGAATTGTGGGGTTGACATCTATTCTTGAAGGGAAATGGGATCAGGCTGAAGGGCTTTGGTCAAATCTACAGAAGAGTTGCGAAAGAGTGCTTGGCAAAGAGCACAGCAGTACCATAACGAGTACGGCTAACTTGGCATTCGCATTCTGGAACCTGGGCAGATGGCAAGAAGCCGAGGTCTTAGGCCTACAGGTGCTTGAGACTCGTCAGAAAGTGTTAGGCCCGGAGCATCCTGAGACACTGACTAGTATGATGAATTTAGCGGCAACGATCATGAGCCAAGGTCGATGGCATGAGGCAAAAGATCTATGCTTGCAAATTTTAGAGGCCCGTCAAAAGGTTCTTGGCTCAGGGCATCCCGACACACTCATTGCCATGTCCAATCTGGCATCAATATACTGCAAGCTTGGCCGGTGGTCAGAGGCAGAGAAAATAGAGGTATCGGCGTTGGAGGCTCAACGACAAGTCCTTGGCTTGGAGCACCCCGACACCCTCGTCACTATGTGCAACTTAGCATTGACCTTCCGGGAGCAGGGGAAACTGGAAGAATCCGAAGCCCTATATTTGCAAGCTCTGGAAATAACACGCCGGGTACTTGGGGCCGAAAACCCAGAGGTTCGGATTCCTATGACCAACTTGGCGATAACATATCTGCGTCAAGGCCGACTGGAAGAAGCGGAAACGCTGCAGGTGCAGGTGCTCGACATGTGTAATAAGGTGTTTAAAATTAAGAAAGATCACCCAGATATATTGACGTATATGTTCAATCTTGCATTGACGTTTCAGCACCAAGGCCGATGGGAAATGGCTGAAGAGCTAGAGATGGAAGTACTGGAGACACGCAAAAGGGTACTGGGACCAGAACACCCGGACACTTTAGCGACCATGGCAAATCTTGCGAAAACCTTGAGGTCATCGAATCGAGAGACAGATGCATTGGTTCTCATGACCGAATGCGTTCACCTTCGACAGCAAAAATTGGGGCCCGATCACCCGGATACCAAGTCCGCCTCGATTGTTCTTCATCAATGGCAAGAAGACGGCGTACACCCATATGTTTAATCTTGCCAAGTGAAGCTTCTAGATCGAGAAACCAAGTCAAGTTAGATTATATTCTTGCTTAATGCAGGTTTCCGACATGCGGCCTTCCAAGCTACCTAGGTTTATAGGTACACGTGCTATGGAGCTATAGTACTTAATTTGATAGTAGGTTTTCTTTAACTCCGACACTTACAATCACAATCAATAACTGTTCTGATAACAATTATAAATAGGAAGATCATCTAATACGAGAGATGTATGGTAATACGGAGGGATCCTGTTGGAAGAGCGTAGCTCTTTGTGGGGTTTATTCGACTAACAACGATGCACTCCATTCCTTGCCACAAAACATCAGGACAAAACAATCTGATACAGCTAGTCGAGCATCCACTCGGCGTAGCAGGTGTATCCACCCTCAGCCCTACGGTAAACTTCCGATCTCCGATGTTTTCATGTTATTATGTGATTTGATCCGTAAAGCCATCGTGTCGAGCCGGACGGTCCTGCGATATCGCGGCGAAGGAGGCTCAACTTAGTCTACATTCGGATTTTGGGCAGTCATGCGTATAGGATGCTACATCATGATGCTACTAGTGCATTGTGTGGCAATATCAAACTGGAGTCGCATATTTCACTGTCGATCACTGAGAAAAGGCTGGCGGATCTACCGCGTAGCAAACATTGGAATCTGGTAACAAAAAAGAGAGGAAAAAAAGGGAAATGAATCAAGACAAAACGCCCCGGAGACCAAACATCCCTATTACCGCAGGCCGAGTAAGAAAAATATGACAACGCAGAGAGATAACCCTTCCCAGTACGCCAGCGCCTCATACAAAATGAAAAAGAGGGGAAACACGGGAGATGCGGAGAACGGCGCACGTTCATCCTCGGCTTTGAAGTCAGAGCATCCATTGCAGCGGGTCAATGGGCGAGATTGGAGGAAGCTCTCGTCATATCTTTCCAACCTCAGAATTCCCTGCAAGGATAGTCCCTTGTCGAGAAATTTCCCCATCTGACGTAGTCCCGCCCCCCGCTGCCGAAGCCCGCATGCACCGTTTGATAGGCGCCCCTCGCAAGCATCAAATTGGATGCACGTCCAATCCAAGTCAATTCCACAACGCCTTTACCCACAGATGAAAAGCTCCATTTAGGCATATCCAACTTCTCGCCAGGTATTCGTGCAGCCGTGAGACAAACGTCATAATCTCCTAGCCAGATCGGGTATTGTCGGACTCCCTCCGGATTCCCCATGCGGTTGGGCTAAGAGATTCATTCTCTTAGTTCATTCTTTGGTGTCTTATAGGGTGTCCGTAATTGCCCCGCGTCGTCTTTTTTTGGCTGCTGATTACTTGCCGGTCTTTCCCCTCGCATATCTCCGATTAGCTAGGAAGTATCAGAAAGCATGCGAGTCACTTACCCATGCCCCCATGTATTGAAAGGCTATGTCACCACTGCCGTTTGCGCCACTGTGTGATAAGAAGCCATCGGTTAGTATTGACAGAGAGACGAAACAGGGATCCAATGTTGTCAAAATACCTCTGTGCTGGAGCGCCCCCAGCTGAACCTCCTCCCGAGGTATTTGTGGAAGCCGACGAGCCCTGTCCACCTTCTTCCGGGGGCATTTTGGTGATTTGTTATTTGGATATTTCCTATTGGAGGAATGAGGGAGGTAATGAGGGGACCTAGATGGCAAGGTCGAAGGAACGAGTTCAAGGGGGGGTGAAAGAGCCAGGAAAATGGGGGCATCTTAAGAAACACAGAAATCAACTGGTGCCGTAGGCGATTCCTTTATAATATTTGACGTTTATCGGAATTCGAAACGTAGCGATGGAGTAGCATATTGGGCACATAGCTTGATCTCCAATGACAAGGCCCGTGTAGCCGACGATGCTTCGACCAAATAGCGGATGGACCAATGGCGAATCCTCAGAGCGCGGCCGCTCCGAGGAGATGAATTTGGGCAGAGTGACTCCGCAGAGAAGAGCCGCATTACAATGTGTTTGAACCAGTCTCCGCGTTATGTTGACGCATGTAGATGTATTCTCCGCTGTATGCTGTAGATGTAGGTGTATAAGGATTGATATCTTGGTTGCCTTGTGCGAACCAGCTGCGAACCCCTCTATTCGGGATCTGGCTTCCACTGAGCAATGAAAGCGACCGGGAACTATCCTGTACTGGTCATCTTGGAGGGCGAGAATCCTGTATTCCTCTCCACCCACCTTGTGTTCCGTGTCTTCACAAGACTCCAATACTCTGACCAATGAGGTGTGACCCATGTGGACGGTCCAAACATTTGCGTGTGCGAGTCATAGAGCTTCCTCTTTATTCGTGATGATTCATGGTCTAGTATTCCCGGAAAGTTAAGCCTAACGTCAATTTCCCAAGATCCTGTTAGTTGGGCACCGACCCGGAGATGCGTTGGCCCGTTGCATGATATCCACATTCCATGCGACCTATACAAAGGGACCTCGTAAGCTACGCATGCATATTAGTTCGAGCTTTAATCTATTGTGTTTCACATGCGAGCGCCTTCGTGGAGAGGTGGGGTCGAATGAACGGCACAATGTGTGGATACATTGGTCTTGAGCTCTCGTGTTTTGGGGATCCATACAGCCTTGATTACTCCATGTCCATTGAGAAATAGAGACAACTGGATCAATACTAATACTAGTGGGTATATTGCATAGTAGTTGACTGGATACCTAAACCTGACTATATCAGACGCCCCCGGCCGATAGTAAGCAGACTAAAGACTATAGATTAGATCATACCACTCCCCGCACTCGGGCCAAATTTCAAATCCTACTAGTTTGAAGGTTGATACTGACTGATGTGGTCGCGGAGCGGGTTAAATCCAGCATAAAGCCGGCTTTTGAACTCGACCCCGGAAAGTATGACAGCTGTTATTATCTACGAGTAGCTTGAATCCAATGTAGTGCCAGTGCCAATGTTAAAACCAAGAAATTGATATAGTATTTCTTTGGGTCACCTGGGCATGATGTCTATCGCTTCAAATTCGGGTAGCCACTAGTACGCTCAATATATCATGATTACACCATCCGATTAGATATAAGGCTGATCTGACCAATAACATTGAAAATAAAAGTTAAGAGTTGACGGGTACCTCGAATCCCAAGGCTAGTGCTTCGGATCTCCGGTGAACTTCTCAGGATTGTGGCTTTTATGCATCACATGGTTCCCAGTGGCCCGCTCATGCATTCCGATACTAAGCGGGGGAAGGTTCAGAGGTCAATATCTTTCTGACTCTTCTCAGCATGAGTTATCCCGTGATTATTAACCTTCTTGAATACACTATATCAATATTCACTGTCAGATAATCTTCTCCGGGCTTGTATACGAACATAGCATGGTTCTTGGGTCAGGGTTCCCCGGATTATCCAAATCGGCCCCGGCCGCTATCTTATCGACCCCAACGTCAACCGGAGAGCGCCGACATGGGCTTAACTTCTCCGCTTCTCTCGACCCCATAAACTCACCTTCTGCTTTTTTCTATTTTGCTTTCTCCCCTGAAGACCCCCTTCAGAAGGAAAGGAGATAAACCAGAACCCGAAGAAATAACATCGAAAGCGAGAGAACCCATTACAGCCCCGATTCCTTCGTGTGCCTTCTCCAACGCCCCCCCACCACCACCATGGCGCCAATTCTCACCTCCAACCCAGCCCTCACACTGGTTCCCGAGCCTCTGAGCCCGGCCAGCTTCGCCCAATTCGGCACAGCAATTCAATCGCCTCTACCACGCGACCTCAGCGTTGCCGTTCAACCGTCCTCTCTTCCCCGAACCCGCACACCCCGACGCCCATTCTCGCAAACCAAAACTCAGCACTCAAGTTCAGCCCTATCTCACCTATGCTGGACAACTACAAGAATGGACCAAGCGGAACACCCTCAGAAACAAGATTGACCATGTTCTGCTGCTTCCCGCGCAAACTCCGCAGTATCACAGCCACCAACCAACCTGAGAAAGAAGCCTTCGATGTTCGCATTCTAGAGCGCCACCCATACACCCACCAAACTTTTATTCCTACCGATCTATCTAGCCACTCTAAGGTTGGAAACGGCGAGGAGGAACCCGTTTTCCTGGTCGTTGTTGCGCCCACACTTAAGGGTGAAACCGCTACCGCGAAGACCGATGCTGGCGAAACTATTACAATTCGCGATCCGCCCGATCTGCGTAACGCAAAGGCTTTCATTGGACGAGGTGGCCAGTCCGTTACGTATGCTGCTGGCACTTGGCATGCGCCGATGGTCGTGCTTGGCCCGCGCCGTGTGGATTTCGTTGTCGTGCAACACGTCAATGGTGTCGATGACGAGGATTGTCAAGAGGCGGCATTCGGCGAAGGTATTAATGTTGATCTTGGGCACAAGGGTCAGTATGGCCGGAAAGAGCTGAAGGGGCCAAAGCTTTGGACAGCAGCAAAGCTTTAGGCTCATGTTGGCGACCCGGGGTTTAGACAATAGATATTGTATAAAATCATCACAATTTAAGCGTTCATTCAAACCCTGTTCCAAGTCTGGCTCTGATCTACGAAGCCCCCGTTTGCCACGACGATCCTCCTAGTATTCCAAGGTTAATACCGCGAGATTAGGTTACGAGTTTATTACTTAACTTTATTACTACATCGGAGCGGCACCCCCAGATATACCGGACATGTAGGTCTGTGCGCAGGATGGCCTTTACTGGTAGATCTATCCCTAGGCGTATAGAGCACTAGCGAGCCTTAGAGCAGTGGTATTATTTTAGAATTAAAATACTACTAACTTGAAAAGTAATGTATACCTAGGTATCTTATCCATTGCAGGGAGCGATCTCCCCCGAGGGCAGTTCATTTGGAGTCTTACTCTACGATTGTTTTTTGAGGTACTAGTATATTCTGGTAAAATGACTGGGCAAATGGGCCGTTATTGTGCATATTTACATTGAAAAATTTACTATACTACATGGTATATCCGGAAAGGCCTGCACGCTATTACAAATCAACCTGTCGATTGAAAGTGATTAAGTCAGGATGCGGATGGCGCCTTTGGGTCCTCAATTGGTAGGACTAGGGGAATCCGACTCGACTCGCAACTCTTCACGGACACGCCTGGCAAGATCAAGGGATTCTTGAGGGAGACCCGCCAATTGGGCTACCTTCAAAGCATGCGATTCACGATTGACACCTTTCCGCAGTCGATGCACAAACGAGAAAGCCCCGAAATCCGTCTCCTTGACATCCGTGCAGTACCTCTCCAGATGCTCAAATTGGCTCGTCATATCCGCCAGCGAGTGAAAATGTGTTGCAAACAGTGTTCGGGACTGGTTGTGATAATGTAGATGGTGCAGACAAGCGTAGCTGACAGCTGTCCCGTCTTCTGGTGTGGTGCCTCGCCCAACCTCATCCATGATCACGAACGAGCGAGGGCTGGCTTGTTTCAGAATAGCGGCAGTCTCAAGCATCTCAACCATAAACGTGGATTGGTCACGGAAGAGATCGTCAGCCGCGCCGATGCGACTGAAGATTTGGTCCACAATTCCGATTTCGGCGTAAGCGGCAGGCACATACGAGCCCACTTGCGCCAGGATGGTGATCAAAGCGTTCTGCCGCAAGAAGGTGCTTTTGCCCGCCATATTTGGACCAGTAATGAGCCAGATACGTTCCTTTTCGCCGAGGAAGCAGTCATTACTAACGAATGATCGACCCTGTTCTTCCAGGCCCAGCTTGACTGTTGGATGCCTGCCGCCCACAATCCGGTGCGAAGTGCCGTCGTTGAGAATCGGTCGTACCATTTGTTGCTCTTGAGCTAGGATTGCGAAAGAACATGCGACGTCTAGTTCATCCATGACTGCTGCATTGCGTCTGATCTTGACCAAGTTGAGGATGACCTCTCGGCGAAGGCGCTCAAAGATGGCTTGCTCCTCTTGGCGAATTTTGACTCGAACACTTTCCATTTTATTTCCAAGCTCGGTCCACGCAGGGAGGTAGAACGATCTGGTGGATTTGGTGGAGGAAACATTGCGCGTGATCCCTAGTTCCTCGAGGGCTTCTTGGGAAACCTTCGGACCTTTGACGTGGCAAATGTGGCCGAGGCCGGGGGTCCATTTGAGAGTCAGCGTGGAGGAACCGACGGAATCACGAAGGTGTTGAGTTAGCGACGCCTTTTCGTCCCAAAGGCGCTCGATTTCTGCATGCAGCTTGTTCAAGGAACTGCTGGCGTCGCGTCTCATGATCCACGTATCAACTGAGCCGGATTCTGCATCCGTTGCCGCCGCCCGGTCACTACTTTTGGTTCTTATCTTCTTAGGTAGTGACTGGAGGTCGCTCGAAGTGCCTTCATTGAGTGTGACTTCTTGGGCTAAATTAGCTGCAGCGGCGGCCGTGCTGTCTTCAATACGTTGTTGCTGCAAAAGACCCTCTTCATCGATAGCGGCAAGTATCCTTTCTGCCAGAGCTATTGGCCCATCTAGATAAAGTCGTGAGATCATGGTGTTGAGGCTGTGTTTCGCGTCGGACGAAGAAGAGCCCAGGGTTCTCTCGTGGTCAGTAAGAACCTGTCTAACGCCTTTGGATGCTTCAATGGCACGGGAAAGGCAGATCAAATCATCTGGATCTCCTTTCCCAAGTGCAAATTTCTGTACTAGCCGTTGAGCATCGTAGCTACGCTTCAACAGCTGAACGACGCTATCACGAAGCTCTTCGCTCGCGATCATTACCGCAACGAGATCAAGGCGCTGGTTGATGATATGTAATGAAGTAGACGGAGAAGCTGGGACGGGTCAATAAACTATATCAACATACTATTGCAGTTGGAAAACTCACTGAGTCGATCTCGTAACAGACGGGCACCACTCTTAGTAGAAGTTCTGCGAACGGCGTGAAGCAAACTGCCCTTTCCAAATCCATCCCGTGCAGTTTCGAGGATTTCGAGACCTCTCAAACTATTTCGATCAATGTTCATTGATTCATCAAGATGTCTCCGACGTGGGGGCTGTAGTTTGAGATTCGATCCTTGCAACTGCACGCGAATATATTCAAGTAAGCTGAACCCAGCGGCAACTTCCTCCGCCGAGAAAGTTGCATGAGATTCCTCTGGGATCGGAGCCTCAAGCATTGATTCCCATTGAGACATCGGTGCGAATGTTTCGGGGAACCGGAAGAAAGTGACGAGGCGATGCTCGAAGCCGACCAGAAGCTGCAGCTCCTGCCCGATGAGATCTTGAACTTGTTGATCGACGAGAATCTCCCGAGCTCCGATCCGGGCTATGGCAGATGGAAGCATTTGTAAAGAGGTGAGTTGTGTAAAGAAATCCCCTGTGGAGAGATCCAGCCAGGACAATCCTACACTTTGAGGCACAGAAGACAGTATATGCTGAGATGATTGTGCTTCGTCCTTTTGTTTCATGTGTGCTTCTAGTGACGGAACATCAAGGTATATGGATAGCAGAAAATTATGCTCAGATGGATCAATGAATTTCTCATCAATTAATGTGCCTGGTGTGATAATTCTGGCCACTTTCCGATCGAAGAGCAAGCCAGTATTCGATTTTGCTTTCTCCTCTGCCACAGGAGTAAATTCCTCGCTGATGGCCACATATTTGTTTAGGTCTTGAACCAACATTTTCAGGTACCGGTCAAGTTGAAAGAAGGGGAATCCAGCCATGGGGACAGGTCCGGCGCTGGTCCTCTTGGTTGCAAGTTTCATACCGAGTAAGGGGGCAAATTCCTCAGCTTGTTCGAAGTAAAGCTAGATTCGAAATATTAGGAGTTATCTCTATCATGATAAAAAAGCGGTGCATACCTCATAGAAGCCTCCAACACGCGTAAGAACTACACAATTCTTGAACTTTTGCATGTTATTTCGATGACCCTGAACGACTGTCGGGTAACGTGGGGCCTCGTCGACGCCATCATCATAAGCTTCGAGCTTCACAACGCCTTGTGGAAGGTCCTTCAACTTGACAGTAGATTTGGTCTTTGCGCCTCTTTGTTGCTGAACCACTGGGACCGTAGGCATCACATTAGGGATACGCGCACGAACTGGTGAGTGTTGCGCATGGTGACAGATCGTCCGATGTACATGGCAGTGATGAGATGAGGTATTCACACCTGCCGTAGAGGCCACTGGTAATTGCCAGGATAGTCTCCATTGCACAAATGCCCTAGCATGGAGATTCAAGCGCATCATTGCGACGCGGCGAAGCAAGTAACGCTGGAAGCGGCAGAACTCATCTAAACTGGAGCTCCCCTCCGCACTCCGCCTTCCGCCTTCGCCATCCACCGAAATCTTCCCGACTGCTTCTCTCCTTCGAGAGATTACTACAATTTCCAAACCCTGGCCTCCATTTCTCCCCCAACAAGTCAGCTCGCTTGCGACAGGAGGATGAGCCAGGTTTGTGACTTCATTTAATTTCACTCAATCGCTGATACCCCCCCCCCTAACACGTGCGACGTGAACGACTTCGAGTTTGGCGCATCAGGCCGATCCAAGTCGCGACTCACTCTTTTTTCTCTTCTTCCTTACACCGATTGATCGCCTTGTCGTGAGAACGGCACCCCCACACCATCATGGCGGACCAAAATATTTCGCAGTACAAATACTCGGCGATGTCCAATCTGGTTCTCCAGGCGGACCGTCGTTTTATCAGTCGCGTCAATGACGAACCTACCGGAGACCCTGAGTCCATCGCTGGCCGCATCGGAATCAGAGAGATGGGCTCCCGGATAGCGCGCGATGATGCCCCCAAGTCTAAGAAGAAGCCGGTCGGCCCATCAGATCTCGAACGAGGTTCCATTCGTGAAGGCGAGGATGTATTGATGCGGGAACAAAAGAAGCGCCAACGCGGCCAGCCCGCACAACTACGAGGACAAGGTATTCTTTCCGCCGCCGATGCTCTCGTTGAGGGCTTGAAATATCGCCCACGAACCCCCGCCACACGAGCCACTTACGACCTTATCCTAACGATCACCGGAAGCCACCTGGGCGATGTCCCCCACGAAGTCGCCCGAAGTGCCGCCGACGCCGTTCTGGAGCTGTTAAAGGACGAAGAGATGAAGGATTTCGATAAAAAGAAGGAAGTCGACGAACTTCTCGGCAGCGCCATGAACCCCAAGGAATTCAACGAGCTGATGAATCTGGGTAAGAAAATTACCGACTACGACGCTCAGGATGACGACGAGGATATGGACGGTGGCATCGCTGAGGAGGAAGCCGAACTCGACGAACGTCAAGGTGTCGCCGTGGTTTTCGACGAAGACGAGGACAATGATGGCATGGGCACTGTCGATGAGATCCGGGACGAGGATTCCGATGAGGATGAGGAGGATGACCAAGACGAACTCAACAATGATCAAACTGCCCAAGCAGCCGGCGAAGACGAGGAAATGGTCATTGATGGTGGTCTCGGACAGGACGATAAGGCTGGAGACAAGACAGGACTGGGAGTCTCCGCTCGCGAGATCGACGCCTACTGGTTGCAGCGCCAAATTGGTGACATATACGCAGATGCACACATCCAACAAGAAAAGACACAAGAGGCCCTAGATGTTCTTGGTGGTCGCTCCGAGGATGGTTCCGAGCGCCCGCTTCGTGATGTTGAAAACGACCTGATGGACCTGTTCGACTACGATCATCCCGAGCTGGTAGCTAAGCTGGTCACCAACCGTGACAAGGTCGTTTGGGTCACTCGCTGGAGGCGTGTCGCCGAAGATGCCGATGCGCGCAACCTTGTGGAAAGCGAGATGGTAGAAGCTGGACACCGGGCTATTCTGGATGAGATTCGCGGCAAGGCCGCCCCTGATGAACTCGCTCCATCAGGCAATAAAATGAAACTAGACCTCATGGATGTTGATGTTCCCTCAGCCGCTGAGCCTGAGCAGAAGGTTGCTGGCGAGAATGGCTTGGTCGGCGGTTTGCAGCCAAAGAGAACGATCAACCTTGAGAACTTAGTCTTCCACCAGGGAAACCATCTCATGACAAATCCCAATGTCAGATTGCCTCAAGGCTCGACGAAGCGCTCATTCAAGGGATACGAGGAAATCCACGTCCCCCCTCCCAAGGCTACTAAGCAGCCCGGCGAGAAGAACATCCCCGCCACCGAGCTACCTGAGTGGGCTCGTCCCGGTTTTGGAAGCGCCAAGGAGCTCAATCGTATCCAAAGCAAGTGCTATCCCACAGCCTTCCATGACGATGGCAACATGCTTGTCTGTGCTCCTACTGGTTCCGGAAAGACGAATGTTGCTATGCTTACCATTCTCCGCGAGATTGGCAAGAACCGCAACCCCGAAACCGGAGAGATCATGCTAGATGACTTCAAGATTATTTACATTTCTCCCCTGAAGGCCCTGGTCCAGGAACAGGTCGGAAACCTGGGCAAACGTCTGGAGCCCTATGGCATTCGCGTGTCAGAACTCACTGGTGATCGTCAGCTCACAAAGCAGCAAATTGCCGACACACAGATTATCGTTACCACCCCCGAGAAGTTCGACGTTATCACACGAAAGGCATCGGAAACCAGTTACACAAACCTCGTTCGTCTCGTGGTCATTGATGAGATTCACTTGCTCCACGATGACCGTGGACCTGTCATCGAGAGTATCGTCAGCCGTACCATTCGCCGCGTCGAGCAGACTGGTGACCCCGTCCGCATTGTTGGTCTCAGTGCTACCCTTCCCAACTACCGCGATGTTGCGAGTTTCCTTCGTGCGGACCCCGAGAAAGGCGTGTTCCACTTTGATGGGTCATATCGACCCTGTCCATTGAAGCAAGAGTTCATTGGTGTGACGGACAAGAAAGCCATCAAACAGCTCAAGACTATGAATGATATTTGCTACAACAAGGTCATGGAGCAGGTTGGCCAAAAACGCAACCAGATGCTTATTTTCGTTCACTCGCGAAAGGAGACTGCAAAGACCGCCAAGTACATTCGTGACAAGGCTGTCGAGATGGAGACCATTGGTCAAATTCTGCGCAGTGATGCCGCCAGTCGTGCAATTCTTTCCGAGGAGGCGGAGTCCGTTGACGATGCGGGCCTGAAGGATCTTTTGCCTTACGGCCTGGGAATTCACCATGCTGGTCTCAGTCTCGCTGATCGTGACTCCGTTCAAGCACTATTCGCCGATGGCAGCATCCAGGTTCTCGTCTGTACCGCCACTCTGGCCTGGGGTGTCAACCTGCCAGCCCACACTGTCATCATCAAGGGAACCCAAGTCTACTCCCCAGAGAAGGGTAGCTGGGTTGAACTCAGCCCCCAGGATGTTCTGCAAATGCTTGGACGTGCTGGTCGACCGCAGTATGATACCTTCGGTGAAGGTATTATCATTACGACCCAGGCCGAGATTCAGTACTATCTCTCGCTTCTTAACCAACAGTTACCAATTGAATCTCAGTTGGTCAGCAAGCTTGCAGACAACCTGAACGCTGAGATTGTCCTTGGCAATATACGCAATCGCGATGAAGGCGTTGAATGGCTCGGCTACACCTATCTCTATGTCCGTATGCTCCGATCACCAGGTCTTTACAGCGTGGGTGCCGACTACGACAATGATGATGCTCTGGAACAGAAGCGAGTCGATTTGATCCACTCTGCCGCCAACATCCTCGAAAAAGCGGGTCTTGTCAAGTATGAGAAGCAGACTGGCCGTCTCCAGGCTACCGAGCTGGGTCGAATTGCTTCTCATTATTATATTGGCCACAACTCGATGCTTACCTACGCTCAGCACCTCCAGCCTTCAATTACTACAATTGAGCTGTTCCGTATCTTTGCTCTCAGTGATGAGTTCAAGTACATTCCCGTTCGTCAGGATGAGAAGTTGGAGCTGGGCAAGCTCCTGGGGCGAGTCCCCGTGCCTGTCAAGGAGTCTATCGAGGAGCCTCATGCGAAGATCAATGTTCTGCTCCAGGCCTACATCTCTCGTCTCAAATTGGATGGTCTTGCGCTGATGGCAGATATGGTGTACGTCACTCAATCTGCTGGTCGTATCATTCGTGCTCTTTTCGAGATCTGCTTGAAGAAGGGCTGGTCCTCGGTTGCTAAGACCGCCCTTGATCTTTGCAAAATGGCCGAAAAGCGCATGTGGCCGACGATGTCCCCTCTGCGACAGTTCCACCATTGCCCGAGGGATATTCTCCAAAAGGCCGAGCGTATAGATGTGCCCTGGGCCAGCTACTTTGACCTCGACCCCCCTCGCATGGGCGAGCTTTTGGGCATGCCCAAGGCTGGACGTGTCGTGTGTGACCTGGTTTCCAAGTTTCCCCGCCTCGAAGTCCAGGCCCAGGTCCAACCGATCACCCGCTCTATGCTACGCGTCGAGCTGACCATTACCCCGAACTTTGTTTGGGACGACACCGTCCATGGCAATGCTCAGGACTTCTGGATCTTGGTTGAGGACTGCGACGGTGAAGAAATCCTGCACCACGATCGCTTCCTTCTGCGTGCCGATTTCGCCAAGTCGGAGATGAATGAGCACCTGGTCGAATTCACCGTCCCGATCACCGAGCCCATGCCGCCTAACTACTTCATCTCTTTGGTCTCTGATCGCTGGATGCACTCTGAAACCAAGATTGCCGTCTCTTTCCAAAAGTTGATCCTTCCCGAGCGCTTCCCTCCTCACACTCCTTTGCTCGACATGCAGCGGGCTCCTGTCAAGGCCTTGAAACGTCCCGAATACCAGAAACTTTACCCTGAATGGGAGAACTTCAACAAGATCCAGACGCAAGTCTTCCAGTCTGTCTACAATTCGAATGACAATGTCTTCATCGGCGCCCCCACCGGAAGCGGCAAGACTGTTTGCGCTGAGCTTGCACTTCTTCGCCACTGGTCTAACGAAGAAAGTGGCCGCGCTGTTTACATTGCTCCATTCCAAGAGCTTGTTGATCTGCGCCTTGTGGACTGGCAGAAGCGACTTGGTGGCCTTGCGGGTGGCAAGACCATCATCAAGCTCACTGGAGAGACTACGGCTGATTTGAAGCTTCTTGAGCGTGCCGACCTTGTTCTTGCTACTCCTAGTCAATGGGACGTTCTCTCCCGTCAGTGGCAGAGACGCAAGAATGTACAGACCGTGCAGCTTTTCGTTGCTGATGAGCTCCACATGCTGGGTGGCTTCGGCGGATATGTGTATGAGGTTGTCGTTTCTCGTATGCACTATATCGCTCTCCAGACCGAGAATGAGATGCGCATTCTTGGCCTGAGTGTCCCTCTCTCCAATGCTCGCGATATCGGTGAGTGGATTGGCGCGAACAAGCACACCATCTTCAACTTCAGTCCGCATGCTCGACCTGTGCCTCTGGAGTTGCACATCCAGTCATTCACCATCCCTCATTTCCCCTCCCTGATGCTCTCCATGGCCCGGCCCGCCTACCAGTCCATTCTGCAGCTCTCTGCCGATAAGCCTGCTCTGGTCTTCGTCCCCAGCCGTAAGCAAACCCGTGCTACTGCCATGGATCTGCTCGCCGCTTGTGCTATGGATGATGACGAGGATCGCTTCCTGAACGCCGATGTAGAAGAGCTCGCTCCTCTCCTCGCACGTGTCCAAGAACAAACTCTGGCCACGTCGCTGACCCATGGTATCGGTTACTATCACGAGGCTCTGAGTGCCACCGATAAGCGCATTGTCTCGCACTTGTTCACTATCGGTGCTATTCAGGTTCTGCTTGCTTCGCGTGAGGTCTGCTGGGAATTGGACCTGACTGCCCACCTGGTGATTGTCATGAACACCCAGTTCTTCGATGGTCGTGAGCACCGTTATATCGACTATCCCATCAGCGAAATTCTCCAGATGTTCGGCAAGGCTTCTCGCCCGGGCCAGGACAAGATTGGCCGGGGTGTTCTGATGGTTCCCGCCGTCAAGCGTGAATACTACAAGAAGTTCCTCAACGAGGCACTCCCAGTCGAGAGCCACCTTCAGGTCTACCTTCACGACGCGTTTGTGACCGAAGCCAGCACAAGGACAGTCTCCTCGACTCAAGACGCGGTGGACTGGATGACCTACACCTACTTCTACCGCCGTCTTCTGGCAAACCCTAGTTTCTACGGTCTAGCCGATGTTAGCCACGAGGGTCTCAGCACTTTCCTGTCGGAACTTGTCGAGAACACTCTCAAGGAACTGTCGGAAGCTAAGATCATTGACCTGGACGAGGAGGATGACACTGTTTCTCCCCTCAACGCTGCTATGATCAGTGCCTACTACAACATCTCCTTCATCACCATGCAGACTTTCCTTCTGTCGCTATCCTCCCGCACGAAGCTCAAGGGTATCTTGGAGATTGTCACTTCTGCCACCGAATTCGAGTCTGTCCAGATGCGCCGTCACGAAGATCACATTCTCCGCCGAGTCTACGATCGTGTGCCCGTCAAGATGTCACAGCCTGCTTTCGATTCCCCGCATTTCAAGGCTTTCGTTCTGCTTCAAGCGCATTTCTCGCGTATGCAACTGCCTCTTGATCTGGCCAAGGACCAAGAAGATATCATCCGCAAGGTTCTCACCCTGCTCAGCGCCTGTGTGGATGTGCTTTCCTCGGAAGGTCACATTAACGCCATGAATGCCATGGAGCTTTCGCAGATGGTGGTCCAAGCCATGTGGGACCGTGATAGTCCCCTGAAACAGATTCCTCATTTCTCCCCGGAGGTTATCCAGGTTGCCAACGAGTACAAGTATGTGTTAATTCCCAAACTCCCTGACAATAGACGGCAAGTTACTAATATCTTTACCTGCAGGATCAATGACATCTTTGAATTCATGGAAGCCATGGACCCCTCTGAGAACAAGGACTACGCCACCCTCGTCAAGCGACTGGGTCTCAACAACAAGCAGCTGGCTCAGGCTGCTGCCTTCACCAACGAGAAGTACCCCAATATCGAGCTGGAATTCGAGGTTGAGGATCCCGAGAGTGTCACTTCCGGCGAGCCTGCCTACCTTAAGGTGAAGATCGAGCGCGAGGTTGAAGAAGACGAGGAGCCCGACACCGTGGTCCACGCCCCCTTCTACCCCAGTCAGAAGATGGAGAACTGGTGGTTGGTGGTCGGCGACGAGAAGACCAAGAACCTCCTGGCTATCAAGCGTGTTACCATTGGCCGCAAGCTGGAGCTACGTTTAGAATATGTTGTGCCCACTCCTGGAGAGCACGATCTGACTCTCTACCTGATGAGTGACAGTTATGTCGGTGTGGATCAGGCCCCCACGTTCAGCGTGACCGCGGCTGAAGGAATGGACGAGGATGAGAGCGAGGAGGAAGAAGAAGAAGAGTAGATGACTGTTTGATTTTCTTATTTATTTTTTCTGTAAAATAATAGTTTTGGAGTAATTGGAACAAAAAGGTCTTTCCATTGAAGTCAGTAACTAACTATACTATAACTACTACTTGTAGTTATAGCCCATACAACTTGAACCCTAAGAGGATCACCGGTGAGTACCAAAGTGGATCCTTTCCCCGCATGGAGTCACACGCCTCTCACCTTCTCCCCTCCTCCCCTTGCTGCCCCTGATACTTCTCCCCTCTTCTCCCCTCTTCTCCTCATCTCTTGCACATACCTATTGCTTCCCCTCTTCTTGGAAATCCTACACTCTGCCCATATTATTCTTTACATTATTGAAATTCCCTACAGGGACCTATCTATAAGCTCCTGTTCTCAAGCTCTTAGCTCCACGCTAGCTCTATCTTATCGCATCTCATAGCTTGAGCTACCAAAGGGGAGATGACCATTCGCACGATGCAGTTTACGCCACAGTAAGTTCCTCGATTTGCTTATAACCGCTGTCATTCTTCTTCTTCTTTTCTCGTGATAATCCCAGTCCTCCTATCGCGTAAGGTCATGGCACCTAATTGACATCGTACAGGGTCCTCCTTGGTGCACCCAGGCGGTCCTCGGCCGTTCCCAACGCGGCCGGAACTCTCGCAGTCTATACCCAAACCTCCTATTCCTTCGAGTCACACTCCAAGACAAACGAGATCCGAGTCATCGAAATCGATTCTGGCCGATCAGCCCTCATCACCAACGACCCCGGCGCTAGCAACCCGCAGTGGCTGGGTGACGGCGACCGACTCGTCTGGTTGAAGACCAAGGGCAATGGAAACACCAGCTTCATTGTCGGCGATGCCCGCGAGGCCAATAAGACATATACCGCCGGTACCGTCCCTGGCCCCGTCTCGGATCTCAAGGTCACTACCGTTGAGCCTGGCAAGATCGGATTTGCGGTGAGCGGCAAGGCCAATAATGACGGAACCCTATATAACCCCCACGACGCCAAGAAGCCACAAACGACTGGTCGCTTATATACATCACTGTTCGTTCGCCATTGGGATTCTTATGTTGAACCTCAGAAAAATGCCATTTGGTACGGTCTTTTGGAGCAGGCTCCATTATCACCTGCCCGTCGCCAAGCTGGCAAGTTCAGCGTTTCGGGTCTGACCAATTTGATCTCTGTGGTTGGACTGGCCGGCGTCGAGTCACCTATCCCGCCCTTTGGAGGCTCTGGTGATTTCGACATCAGCCCATCAGCTATTGTTTTCATCGCTAAGGATCCGGATCTGAATCCCGCCACCCATACATCTTGTTCCTGTTACTATGCGCCCATGTTCTCATGGACTAGCATGAGAGCACAGGATGTAAAGGCGTGTAAGATTACCGCCTTGCAAGGAGCAATGTCATCGCCTGTCTTGTCCTCGGACGGTGGTTCCATTGCGCTTTTGGCCATGCAGCATGATGGATACGAATCCGACAAGAACCGAATTCTATATGTACCGAACCCTTGGGATGGCAACATGATTGAGGTTTTCGAGTCTTCAGATGGAAAGGGTCTCTGGGATTTAAGCCCCTCTACGATCTCTTTTGCTCAGGGCGATAACTCTTTGCTGATTCAGGCGGAAGAGAAAGGCCGCGGAGTTCTTTATCAACTCCCCCTTCAAGGCATCAGAGAGGCGAAGCCTAACTCATTGCGACGACTTACCCACGCTGGTTATGTTAATGATGTAGCTCCTGCTTCGAAGTACAACACCAAGCTGTTTGTTTCCAGCAGCAACATGGTGGATAACAGTCTATGGTATATTATCGACCCTGCTCGCCCCAATCCAATCGAGCTGGTCTCTTCCAACGGTCGTGGTGGTGCAGCATTTGGATTAGATCCGTCTCAGATTGATGAGATCTGGTTTCGAGGAGCTGAAGATCATCCGGTACACGCGTGGGTCATTAAACCATCCAACTTCAAACCCGGCGAAAAGTACCCTCTAGCATACCTGATCCACGGCGGGCCCCAGGGCGCTTGGAACGACCAATGGAGCACTCGATGGAACCCGGCTGTTTTTGCAGAGCAGGGATATATCGTGATCACGCCGAATCCAACCGGTAGCACTGGCTACGGACAGGACTTCACCGATGCCATCCGTGGCCAATGGGGTGGCCGGCCGTACGAAGACTTGGTTAAAGGGTTTGAGCACATTGAGAAGAATCTCGATTACGTGGACACCGATCGCGCAGTCGCACTCGGTGCTTCTTACGGTGGCTACATGATGAACTGGATTCAAGGCCACCCGCTAGGTCGCAAGTTTAAGGCTCTCGTCACTCACGACGGCGTATTCAGCATGACTGGTCAGCTGGCTAGTGAAGAACAGTACTTCCCACTGCACGATCTCGAAGGTCCCATCTGGAAGGTTCCCGAGAACTGGGCTAAGTGGGATCCATCGCGCTTTACTGAGAATTGGAAGACGCCGCATCTGATCATCCATAACGAACTGGACTATCGTCTGACTATCGCTGAGGGTCTGGCTGCATTCAATGTACTCCAGATGCGCGGCGTGGAGAGTGCATTCCTGACATTCCCGGATGAGAACCACTGGGTGTTGAACCCCGAGAACTCTCTTATGTGGCACCAGACCGTGCTTAACTTCATCAACAAGTTCGTCGGTCTTCCTCCAGTATCGGAGGAGTCTGACCTCTCCTCGGGCGTCAACAAGATGGCCGTTTAGGTGGTCTGTCACGCATTAAACTATATGAGCAATAAGTTATGAGATACATCTATGAATTTTGCGTGTTTCTTTGGGAAGAAATCTATTGATTGGACTAAGGTGCCTGGGATTGAACTGTCTTTGTTAAAGACCAAAGCATTTTTTGGTTTTTGTTCTTCGCTTTTGTGTCCAGCCCTTGCTATTCTTGGGATGTTTCGGCTCTTTGTTTATACTGTCGCCATTATAATGAGACTTCGAATTTCGGAACACATAAGAAGCACTTGAGCCTCCTATCGTTCTTGCTGTCTTCTCCTCGTATTTCAGCGCTACTTTATTAACCTCATTCTTTGACATCGATCTCCATGGACAGATTCTAAGCCGCTTATCAGCTATTGTCGCGTTCATTTATTCACTGCGCAAAACCATTCACCATGCCGTCCACCTCTTCCCCATCTCACCGACTCGAAAGTCTAGCACCTGTTCCTTATCATCCTCAGTCTCCGGCCTCAACACACCGAAGCCATCAACAACATCACCGTTCCATCAAGATTTTCTACCACTTCTGAACCACCTCTCCAGACCCCTGAATCAAATAGTCCACTGCACGAGCGGTGCGAAATCCCCCGACTGGCCAAGTAATATTCTCAAATACCATCTTCTCTCAACGCCCCAGCTAGACAATCTATCCCGCTTCTTCAATCAGACCTGGCCACCTGTCCCAGAAACACACTGGTATCCCCGGCGATTAGAGCCCTGGCTAGGAACACCCAACGAATCACAAATAGACCTGAATACCCGGCGTCGACGGTTCGGATACTTTATCGGTCTATACGCTTCTGATTTGCCGACTAGAGAGGAGTCCTCAGTAAAGGAGCTTGGGTTTTCTCTTAAGCTGTTGAGTTGCTTTGGACAGTCTGGTTTGGATGGACAGGATGATGGGCAGAATCAATCTGAGATTGGGGACGATGGTAGTCCCCAGCACTGTGAGCTTGATTCTGGGAGCGCTGAAGAGTTACACCTTGTTCAGGATATGCTAGACTGGATGGAATGGGAGTGGCAGTTAGCTTTAGTTCGGGCACGAGAGGAACAAGGCGGTAGATTTACGTGGGGCCCGAAATAGACTCGGTTGATGAATGCGTTTATTATTATCTTTCTTTGGTTCCTTTGGGGGTTTCTTTTAGACGGCACTTTCGGATTTATGCTATATTTGGCTTTGATCTAGCTACTCAAGCATGCGATTCTTCCGGGCGTGTATGTAAAATAGTTAAATGAGGAAATGCTCGTACTGAATAGTAATAAGAAATAATATTACACTGATCAAGGGTCACATTCCCTATCTTAAATCATGCTTGATCGCTCATTTCAAAGTAGCAATTTGCCGTAGCAGACAGGCGATTACGGCCAGCTAACTATTCCTGATTGATCACTTTATTGTTTCCACATTACTTGCAGGCCGAGATCTCCACGCACAAGGAAAAGACGTTTGAATGGCCGAAGTTTGAGAAGAAAAGGAACTAAACTAATGGTTCGTCCGGGCGAACCTCGTGGATGTTTCAGCACGTTCACGCTCGAGATCCACTAAATACTAATCGTCAGCAAAATTTAACCCTTTGATTGTCCGATCAAGCATTCTGTTTGTTTACAGGTCTTTTCCGTCTTTTCTGCATCCTCTGTGCTCCGACCCCCTTCACTTTGGCCCGTCGGATCCTTCTCTGCAGCTTCAGCAACCTTCTTCTTCGTATCATCATCAACTGGTGGTGGTGGTTCGGTCAAGTTGCCAACCGATAGACCAACTAAACGGCTTTTTAGTATAGTCTTGGCTGAGTGAAAAGTCATATACACTGGCAGATACATACTTGGATTATGAGAGGCAGAGTTCTGAGCCATCTTGTTAGTAGCAAGCGATGACTTGGAGATTAAGAGAAATATACTGCTTGAATTTGAAGCTGAATGAGGTGGTGGTGGTCTATATACTATCATACAGCCTTCTTTGGCGGCAGTGACGCCATGAATAAACCTGATTTGAGGCTATGCGTGCGGGCTCCGGCGGGAACCGCGATTTACATTATCTCATCCTTCATCTAGAAGGTTGTGCCGACTGGCAATTCGAAGACACACCACTAGCCTTTTACATTAATTTTGTCATTGATTTTCCTTTCTTTCGTTGTTTGGTGCTGAAAAAGCCAGCCATATCCCAAATTACGGCCAACCCTTGACCGAAAGCTAAACGTCAGTGGCGAGAGCAGCCGATAGCTAGGGACGTGCGCTGTATGACAGCTCCCCTTTGGGAAATCCTTCAAAGTCAACTTGCTGCGAGATGCACTTTCATTCTCGTTGATATTTGAGAGAAGTTCGGCTTCCATCGAGTTACTGAGGCTTTCTTCTACGAAGAACACTTGAGAAATGGAAGATCTAGAAACGATGGAATGTGAAGAATACTGCTTTTTGACTCTGTGCGTATCGTCCTCAAGGCACCTGATCACAACATGATTTAAGAAACAGCCTTCTCCTTTGAGCTTTGAAGCCTGTTTGCAAGAGAAACGCCCGCCAATCGCCCGAAAGTCAACTGTTAGTAGTACTTGTCTTCTACTAGTTGCCCATGAGTCTATATTCCTCAATGTGTTTCGCTCTCAAGTTACTTACGGCTATGTTGTCTATCCTTGATAGCCAACAGCAACATACTACTTCATACCTAGGTGTCAAAACACCAAATTGCGGTTATTCTTCGGGTAAGTAGAGATATCTTCTTCACTTTCAGGGTCGGGATCAAGTCTGCTCGTCTCTTCCAATATCCTGATCATTGCAATTCTTCGATGTACATTTAAAGGTTGTTAGACCTTTGAGAAACTAAACCTTTTCCCCAAATGCCTTGATCTTATACACTTCCACGCCGGGGTGATACCCTTGCCACTCGTGTCTATGCAGACCAAATGTTTCAAACTCTGGTGCCGGGATTCTGGGGAACAGTCCCATTTTCATGACGACTTTCCCTTCCAAGGTAGGTGTTACAGATTTTATCGGACTGGGATAATTAAAAGTGTGCTCTCTGGGATATCGAAAGAGGGCCACTTACTTTCCACATCGTGAGCAGAACCACCTTTCGATCGGAATGCCACTTCCCGTCTCAGTATCCAAGAACATAGCAAGCGTGGAATCACGGTCCTCAATCTGAATCTTATCCTGCTCGATGATCAGATTGCTCGCCGCAAAGCTGCCTGAAACCTTTCGGCAGTTGGCGCAGTGGCAGAGATGCCCTCTTCTTCTAGTAAACAGGTCTGGATCATTGATTGTAACATTCACCGATCCACATAAGCAATGCCCAACGAGTCCCTCAATGAAATCCTTGGTCGCATGCAAATTGGGGTTTCCGGTGAGAGGAGGCATATTGGGCTGACTGCAAATGAGACTGAAATGTCCAAGTGCTAGACGTTGAAATAATGCACAGCAATATAAACACGTCTCTTCGCTGTCTACTCGCCTTTTTCGCCGATTTCTCCGGGTCTTTGAAGGTCCCTGTGGGTCGAGTACATCCGTCTCCAAAAGCGGGGGCCCGAAGACGGCTTCTTAGATGGCTTCTTCGGAGACTAGTGAAGGGTTATGTAAGATTTCGGCTTGGTTGAGAGTCTCGTGAATATAGAAGCAGTAATGACTTTCAGGGTTCGCTACAAACTTCCGGGGTTATCAGTCACAAATTTCTAACTTCGTCGGATGCCCGGATGACATATCTATCAATGATATCACCTCTCGGTAGTTCCGAATTCAAGGTTTATAGTAAAATCCGGAACCAACCACTTACCCAAACCCCAAGAACTAGACATTTCATGAATTGTCTTTAACCTCAAATTTAACCTTTTTTTTACATCAACCTTTTATGTACTATAAGAAATATAATATCCATATCCATCCCATTCCATTCCATTATTATATACATGATCATACAAATTGCTGTGGCCGATTATAATCACTTGGTCGATTCTCAACCGTCACCGCAACACCATAGTTAACCATAATATTCCCTCTTTCGCTAGGCTGAGCCAACTTTTCTTGACTACTGGCCGGGCTTGAGGATCGGTATGCGCTCGCAGACTGGTATATGTCATCCGATTTCCCCACGAAACTATTGAGAGCAATATCCGCCCCTCTGGTTCCCGATCGATTTGACGGCATGCCACTACCTCCACGGCCACGCATGTTATAAGAGTTGTAGTCGTAGGAGTGTTTACTGGGTGAAAGGGCGGTTTTCATGACGCGATAAAGCCCCGGGCAACATCCGATCATGACGGCTAGAGAATGTTGTCAGTACATTGAAGTATGTACGGGCGGGGGAAAAGAAAGGAGTGATAGCATACCAATTGACGCTTCAATCGTGGCCCAGAGGGCTAGCCATGAGGGAGCTGGAACACCAGTTGCTGTGCCTTCGCCAAGCTTCACAACGCGAATGGTGGAGACGATGATGCAGACCCAACCGAAGCAAAATAAACCTCCGATACTCAGCTTTTGTCGTGGTTTCATGCGTAAGTTCCAAATGAGACGCAGGGGTAAAGCCATAACTAGGATTGATATTAGCTAATTTTGTGGATTTCTCGAGGTCCGGATAAAGTTAAACGTACTGGCCAGGTCAGTAAGGATATCCACCGCATAAGCGAAGTATAAACTGATCCGGGCGGCGCGATGGTCGCGCGCCGTACCACATTCCCCGGCCGTGAACCAAGCATGGAAACTCTCGCAGGAGAACCAGGATGATAGAATGCAGCCGATGAGGAACTAGAATAACGATTGTTAGCTTAGAAGCATATAGCTAGCCGGGCCTTCATACCAAAATGCAGAGTATCACAATTACCCACCAAGCGAGAAGGTACTGCTTCCCCACCAATAGCCGTTTATACATCGAAAGGAGCGAAAATTTGACCATCCACAAACAAATCCATAACGAAGAGGTGGTGACAAAGAAAACGATCTGTAATTTCACCGAATCATCCATAACAGTTGCATAAGGAGCGATTGTTCCGGCCGAGAGGGCCGCCAGTCGAAAGATCACTGGGGCAATATAGATGTACAGGACACTCAACTCCAAAAAGAAGATATACCCAATAACCAAAAGATAGTCTTCTGCCTTGAGCTCCTTCGGTCGCCGTACGGACCCAATGAATCGCACTAGGACCACAAGTGAAGTGAGTACAATCAATGCAATCCCTGTCGCCTTGATGGTCCCAGGACCGAAGCCTTCGGAAGTTGCACCCATCAACAAGTAGGCGAGGCACCAAGAAATCCTGGCTCAGGGATGCGCAAAACGGTGGATATCCATATTTATTAAAATGCCTGTCGGGTATAAGACACACATGTCAAGAATCCTTTTGTGTACGGAGTCTCCGTAAAGATCTTGCAGGAGCACGTTTCGGGCGCCTTGGGCGTCCTGCACCAAGTCTCCAGTTCTTGGAAAGGGCTTGTAGGATTTGATGTGAATTGCCACTACTACATCTACAGGGATCCTGTAACATACTATCCCCGGTCTGGCCAATATAGTAAAGTTCAAAAGCAAGAGGCGCAGGCCCCACTCTTGGGTCGGGCCAGTCAGGGCCGCGTGCCAACGCCCCCGGGGGGCCGAAGGTCAATGGCCAAGCCCGGCGGGGTTTGAGATTTATGCCGCCCTGCAGGCATGCCCGATGTAACCGTCCAATTGTAGTAAATGCCCCCCCTCCTCAGCTGGGGTAATTCTCAGAGCCCTCTGGCTACCAGACTTTTGTCATATCAGCATGAACTTAATGCTTGGGCTTGTAGAAGAAGAAGAAGTAGTACCGCTGGCGATTGTTTGCTTTTACGCTATATCTCAAGCCCTGGAGCCCGCCACATCCAAGTTTAAACCTGGAAACCCCTTAGCCTAGATGTGGCGCTTCTAGTCTCGGGTTCGCTTAAGAATAGTGAACTCGGCGACTCCCTTCTCGGGGCAATTCGCAGGCATTATACATTTCGGGTTTACTTGCACACGGAGGATATCAAATTTAAGCTAGACTTACCAAAATTGTATTGTTCCGCGGTGTTTTCTCAGCGAAATAGAGCCTTGTGAAATACTAGTACAATTCAGCAGCGAAATGCTTTAAATTCCACCTACGGACGAAAAGCGATCGGAATGTATCCTGCATGTCGAAATAAAAACAAGAATAAATAGTGGCACTCTATCCTCCAAATAAAGATATACGGAGCGCCCAAAGAATAAAGAAATAATAGCAGCTCACTGGACCTCATCATCCCTTAAGGGGAAACGGAATGGTGAACCTTGCCAATTAACTCATTAACCCGAGCCAATGGCGAACATGCCATTTGATTGATCAAATGGTCTCTCAGCTTACGCGATCGGCCTGCACCGCTTCGCTTAGGGATAGTGCACATTGTCTCACGCGTTGACTCTACTCGTACGGAGTACACGAGAACGACTCAGTGACGCTAAAATAGCTTCTCCACACGAGAGGTACCGTTCCAATCTCGTCGGAGTTCGTTAGAGTAGATCCCGCGCGATCATCTAACTACGGCCAAGTGTATTAAAGAAGCTCGTTCTCGATTTTTGTTTTTGATTTTTCCCCTTCCCTCACATGCTATCTTGTTCTGTTTTGCTTCTTCCACTCGTTCCTCTCGGCCATCGAGATCTTGGATCATGCATCATATTTCGACAGTTCTTGGCGGGTTAACCGTTCTGAGTGGTGCAACACTCGCCTATGCCAGCACTCCAGTAGAATCATCAAATTTCAATGTCACCGCTGCTTTGGAAGATTTGGGTATCGATGTATCGACTATTCCAGCATTGAATTCCTTCACGGGCGCCCAGGCGCGGTCGACCGATAAGGCTTGTGCAGCTGCGGTAAGGGGAACCTCATAACAAAGAAAGCCGTTTGAAAAATTTCATAGTCTGATCCCCCTCTCTTAGTGCTCAAGCTTGAGTTTTATCTTCGGCTCGAAAGTTGCAGCGCAAAATACCGCTGGATACAGTAACTTCACCGACTCTTTTTGGTCGGTTCAACAGGAAGAGGTCCAGCCTCACTGCATCTTCCGACCCACCAAAAACACAGACGTCAGCGCTGCGGTTCTCCTGAGTCGATTCACTGGCTGTCAATTTGCTGCTCGGAGTGGTGGCCATGCGGCCTTTACCGGTGCCTCCAGTAGCCCTGGCGGTATCAGTATCTGGTTCAAGGACATGAATGCTGTCACCCTCAACGACGACAAGTCCGTTGCTTCGATCGGACCAGGAAACAACTGGCTGTCTGTCTACTCCGCCCTTGAGCCTTATGGACTGGCTACAATCGGAGGTCGTGCCGCCAGCATTGGAGTTGGAGGCTTTGTTTTGGGCGGTGGTATCTCCTACCATTCTAACTTGTACGGATGGAGTTGCGACAACGTTGAGAGCTTCGAGGTGAGTTAATATTGATCTAAATATTTGAATTCGAGAAAGTTCTCACATTTACAGGTTGTTACTGCGAGTGGCTTGATTCTCACTGTCAGCGAGACTTCCTACTCTCGATCTTTATTGGGCTCTTCGTGGTGGCGGCAACATCTTTGGCCTCGTCACCAAGTACAATCTCTATACCATTCCTGCCCCAACTATGTATGGAGGCTCCAGAACTTTCCTCGAACCATACTTCTCACAAGCTATCAATGCTTTCATTAATGTCGCCAATAATGCCTCCGTGGACCCTCATGCCCAGCAATACATTGCCTTCCTCAATAACAATGGGACCAACCTTGCCTCGGCTGAGTTGACCTATACCCAGGATGTCGCCGACCCACAGATTTTCAAGCAATACCGCAGTATTCCCGCAATTGCCGATGTATCCAGCTCCAAGACTCTGGTTGAATATGTCGAATATCTGGAAACCTCGAACCCCTTCCACCTCCGCGAGGTGTACTGGCCTGTTGCAGTAAAGCTGGACGAGAAGTTCTCTAACTGGGTCGTGAAGACTTTCTACTCAATGATTCCTCAGGTCGCGAATGTTGCCGGTGCTGAGCCTGTGATCATTTTCCAGGCTATTACTGAGCCCATGCTGAAGAAGATGAGCGACTTCGGTGGCAATGCACTGGGCCTCGATGCGTCAAACGGCGCCGTTGAGCTGATGCATATTTCATGTTGGTGGACGAACGAGTCCGACGACGAGACCATTTACGCGTTCGTCAACAGCTTCTGGGAGACGGTTCTCGCCGAAGCCAAGAGTGAAGGCATCTTCAACGAATTCGTCTACATGAACTATGCCAGCATGTACCAGGATCCCATCTCTGGCTACGGTGCGGCCAATAAGGCTCAACTGAAGAAGATTGCGAAGAAATACGATCCTCAGGCTGTTTACCAGACTCTTCAGCCAGGGTACTTCAAGCTTGAGGGTGCGCCTGCTTCGTTCTAGTGGAACGGACGTGGGCTTGCAGGGATTAATGCTGTACTGTACTTTAAGAGTTCTTCTCGGATTCAAAAGCTCCCTAGATTAATTATATTGGAACATACACTCATAACTCGAAAGGCGTGGATTCGTTATTGTGATCCACCACACTCCATTCACCTAAGAAAGCCCCAAGAAGTGACCATCTCACTCCTCGATCTTTTCAACTAGACAAGCAGTTCCATATGCACAAATCTGCGAACAAGCCCCAAAACTAGCGACATCAAATCTGACAGCGATGATTGCATTACCCCCGCGACTCATGCACTCTCCAACCAATCGTTCCATAGCCTCCTCTCTCGAGGTATACATGAGATTGGTGAAGAACCGAATCTCGCCCCCAACAGCCGATCGAACAACGGCGCCTATGTCTGCGCCCCAATTTCGAGTCCGAACGGTGATACCGTAGATGGTGCCTAGAACGGTTTTGATCTTGTAGCCTGGGAGATCGTTCATTGTGGTCGTGACAATTCCGTGAGTATCGGTGAAGCAGGATGGGACATCTTTCTCCTTTCCCTTTTCTTTCTTTGTGGTGCTGGCCATTTTGGATTAATTCGAGTGACCAATCTAGTGTTTGTTCATAGAAAGGAAGGGCTTGTGTAGCAAATAGAGTCTGGAAAGTAGAATTTTAGAAGTTGAGGGGGTGCATTGTGGTTTTCTGGCCCGGTTTTAGTTAAAGCTTGTTGCTCGTATTCGTTTGCTTGTTCGTCATTGGCCTGCTAACTATGGAGTAGCCAGTGAACATCTTGATGTTGGGGACCTCACATACTAGATCAATCATTTTGCGAGAATGGCACAGTTTATTCCTCGGAGATTAAGATTAATTTCTGCAATGCGCCAATGCATGCAGGTTCCCGTCACCAAGCCTTCATCAATCAATCAATCAATCAACAAATCTGCCAACTGTGGGGCATCTACTAGTATCATCTTGACATTCGATCCACCCCGCCTCGTTCAAAGAGCCTTACTACGAGTACGGACCGTAGGAATAGTTCGCACTTCTTGCCAGTCTTGTAGTTCAGCCACATCACGTCATGCCCTGATACAGTAAGAGATGCGTAGCCTGCAATGATGCCCTCCTCATATACGAGCACCCGAAATAACCCAGAGACCCACGTAATCCAAAGATCAGAGCTGAGGCTGGAGAGGCTTGGGAGGCTGTGCAAGTCGATCTAAGCGCCCCTGAACCGAAACCAAGCTGGCTCAACCGCGTCGAGGCGGTGCTTTCATTGATGCCCCGCAGTCATCCGGGCTGGGCCTTCTTATTTAAATTACTTTCCCCGTTGCGCTGACTTCTTTTCTTCATCCTCATACTATCCTCTCTCACTTCACCGTATACATCCTCTCCAGCTCTCTCACCATGTCGCATTACGGTGGCCCGCCCAACCAGCAGTACGGTGGTGATCATTATGGCCAACAGGGCCAGGGCTATCCTCCTCAACAAGGATATGGCGGCCCCCCACCTCCAGGCTACTATCCCCCAGAGGTAAGAGAAATGCGCATGAATGATTCTGAACTATGCGCCATTCAATCCTGAGAGCTTACGCATCATACTAACTTTTGATAACAGCACCAGCAACAAGGATACGGTCAGCCACCGCAAGGCTATGGAGAGCCCCAGTATAATCAGCAGGGCTATCCTCCTCAATACAATGAGCAACCTCAACATGGCCAATATCCCGGCGGTCCCGGATATGGTGGTCCCCCGCAAGACCGTGGCCACTCGCCCTATCCCCCGCAACAGCATCAACAGCAGTACCCGCCCCAAGGCGCAAGTGCCTCATACTACGGGAACGCCCCTCCTCAGGGACAATATGGAAATGCACCTGGGCCCGGCGGTCCGGAAGGCGAGAAGGGTCTTGGCTCAACACTCGTCGGTGGCGCCGCTGGTGGTTTCGCTGGCCACAAACTGGGAGGTGGATTCCTGGGGAGCGCAGCTGGAGCGGCCATCGGTGCCGTTGGTATGAATATGGCAACCCATGAATAGTAAGTTAATGCGTTATTCCCACCTTCTTGCCTTTGTCTTGTGGCTAATCTCGTCCTTTTTCCGCGCAATAGCAAGGATCACAAGAAGAAGAAGGACAAGAAGCATAAGAAAGAGAAGAAGTCCAAGCATCACAAGCGCAAGGGCTCCAGCTCCTCTTCGAGTTCGTCTAGCTCGTCTAGCTCGAGTGATTGAGTCTGAGTGGGTGGTTGGCTGGCTTGTTCGACGAAACTATGATGATTACTTCCATGTTCGACAGCACTTTATTCTTATACCCTTTACTGAAATCAATTGACACCTGAGTGAACGTCCGGGACGTTTCCCTCAGATTATCCAAGGTTCTTATAGTTGCTTATACTAGTGGTTTGTTATTTGTAGTCCCTTTCTCCGATATTCTCTATGCATGTAAATTATTTTGTCCTAAGTACTCCGATCATTTGATCCCTGTCCGAGCCGAATATTATACAGAACTGCATCGAATGAAGCGCTATGCTAATGGGTAGTATACACGAAATTGACAAATGGTGGTGGAGTTGTGTACCGGGAGTTTTGTGGACACTTCAGCTCAACTCTCCTGGGTAGTGTGGTGCTTGGCCTTCTTCGGAGGTGGGTCGATTTTTTCTCCAAAGATATCATCCACGTCTGCTTCCGCGACGACGGACGATTTCACAACCGGCATTGGCTTCGGCGTATCCCAGTTGAAATATGCTTTATCAGAGTTGGGAATATGGTACACGCGAGGCACCAGTGCGGAAATGCGCCTCCATTGGCGCTGCATGAACCTGGGTGTGAATTTGTGTGGCCGGCCAAGGACATATTCACGAAATGTGTGGCCCTTTTGCGGTCCCTCTACCAGAAAATCCAGTATGGTATTATCAGTGGTGGAAGATGGGGAAGGGGTTGTGGGGAGTATACGCCGCTCCACAGGCTTCCAGGGGATAGTTCTTGACAATAGCCCGTCAAGGATACCAAGCTCCTTTTTTGGCAAAGGGGGGATAGAGGGAATACAGCGTCGCCTGATACCATTTTCTGCGGATATTCTTTCGACGCACCTTAGGCACTGGTCGACCCCAGGAATTCTTCTCTGGTATAGGTGGTTCGAGTTTTTGTATCCGTGGCCGACGACGAACCGTCATAACCACTCCGTTGTTCATCTGAGATTTTGCGAGACTTGTCATTAACTCTGGAGGCTCCCAACCGTCTTCAAATTTGGCGGGCTCCGCGATGAGTGCTTTGACCGCAGCTGTATCCTTTGGTATGGGGGGTTTGATGAAGTCGTGTATCAATTCTTGCCTCCGCTTGCCAATACGACCGTATGAGAGAAATAAGACCTTTTCAAGAGGGAGCTGATAACCCTCATTGGCTCTGCGAAGTATTGACAGTCCCTGGCGGGCTCGTTGGAGCTTTTGGGTTTCTGGTCGGCTGGAGTGGTCAGACGCGCGGCGATATCGGTCCAGGACAAAGTCACGCATGTAAGACCGGGCAACGGGGTCCGGTAAACAGGTACATTCGCGCAGAGAGGCACGCAGAAGATGGTGCCATGGGATATCAGTGATCCTTGATTTGGGAACAGACGCCATCGAGCAAGTAGGCAGAAAGAAGTAAAGTGTGTGGCCCAAAACGGCGAAGACGCGAAAAAACCTTGGCGGCAAACCCGTGACACGGAACGCGCCCTTTCCTCTTCCAACCCCGCGACTTGAGGAAATCCAGCCTTGCATTGTCCGATCCCCGATCGCAATTCGATTTGACACATTCCGGTCTTTGTTCCTCCCGCATCTTGAGACTATATTGTATGGTTCCTGTCTAGGCCTGCTGCGCTTTCCCTTCAGAGAGGGTGGTAGCCACCACGCGCCTCCTTTTCGCGTTTAACCCGGTAAGCCTCCCCACTCACCATTCCGTCCCTGGTCATATTAGTTCTATGCTGATCCGACTGGGAGACGCTCAGCATACCCTACTCGCCGAGTAGTGCATCATATACGGACAGAAAAGACTACAACAACGCCCTCAACAGGCTCACAATCCCTGACGTCCACCCGCCGCCCTACTCCTACAGCGCCGCAAATCTCACAAATGTCCTTCAATATGTCAAACGGTGTCTCGCGCGGTAGCTTTGGAGGATACGATGGCCAAAACGATTATGGGTCGAATGTGTCCTACCAGGACGAATACAAGCCGCAGATCTATCGCGTTCGTCGTTTCGATCAAATATTATCCTCCCATGTGCCCTCCCAACTGACACTGTTAAACATCTAGGCGGTCTACTCCAATGTTTCTGTTTATGAGCTGGAAGTGAATGGAGTTGCGGTTATGAAGCGGCGGTCCGATTCTTGGCTAAATGCCACTCAGATCCTCAAGGTGGCTGGTGTGGCCAAAGCTCGACGAACAAAAACTCTGGAAAAGGAAATTGCGGCCGGCGAGCATGAGAAGGTTCAGGGTGGATATGGAAAATACCAAGGGACATGGGTCAACTACCAAAGGGGTGTGGAGTTATGCCGAGAGTACAACGTCGAAGATATGCTGCGGCCCTTGCTCGAGTACGATATGGGCCCCGACGGCCCCGGCGCCCCTTCACAAGGAACACTGGATACGCCTACCAAAGAACAAGCCATGGCTGCACAACGAAAGAGATTGTATAACGGTGCGGAGAACCGGAGCATGTCCCAGCCACAACAAGGAACATTTTTCCAGAACATTTCACGCACCGCCGCAACAGCTGTCAACGCGATCAGCAAAGCCCGATTCGATTCGCCAAGCACCAATGGTCGTCGCCCAAGCGTGATTCGCAAACCATCCCAGTCCCAATCCCAACCCCAGTCGCAGTCGCAGTCGCAGTCGCAATCGCAGTCACAACATATGAGCAGTCAAGAGTCTGGCATGGCCTTCAGCAGTCAACAGAGCATGTATATGTCCGATAGTGGATTCAGCAGTCTGCAAAATCGTTACCAGGGACATGATGACAACGATGACTTCATTGAACCCCCTCGTAAACGCGTTCGCTCTGAATCGCACCATGGTTTACAGTCGATCGGCTTACATCGAGAACCATCTAACCTATCTTTGCACGAACCCACCCCGACAGAGCCTAATGACTCCTTCTACCAGGACATGGACTTTGCACCTCCACCGCCACTTGATGATGGCCAGAAGCGTGGTGCTGAGTCTATGGCCCCTGCTTCAGATCCAGAAGGTTTCCAGAAGCAAAGGCTCATCATGACTCTCTTCCTCGACAAGCGCATTAAGGACTTTTCCAATCACCCTGCCTTGATGCAGCTGAGCGGTGAAGATCTCGAGATTCCGCTTGACGAATATCGAAACAATGCTCTACACTGGGCCGCAATGCTTGCACGTATGCCACTGGTAAATGCGCTGGTAGCGAAAGGTGCAAGTGTTTCTCGAGTGAACCTTGCAGGCGAAACTGCATTGCAGAAGTCTGTGGGAACTCGTAACAACTTAGATTACCGGAGTTTCCCCCGCCTATTACAAGTACTAGCACCGACAATCGATATGGTCGATTACAGTGGTCGAACCATTCTGCACCACATTGCCGTCATGGCAGCGACCGGTGGCGGCGGCCATGTCTCTGCCAAGCACTATCTTGAGTCATTGCTGGAGTTCATAGTACGACATGGAGGGATCATTGCACCTACTAACGGTGTACAAAATGGGGCTTCCGCAAACGATGTTATCTCCCTGGGGCGGTTTATCTCTGAGATTGTGAATCTGCGAGATGACCAAGGTGATACGGCTTTGAACCTGGCAGGTCGTGCACGCTCTGTATTAGTTCCACAACTTCTCGAAGTTGGCGCCGATCCCCATATTCCTAATCATACCGGGTTGCGACCTGCAGATTATGGGGTTGGCGTTGATATGGTCGATGGAAACTCACAATCACAAAAGGGGGATACATTCATTGACCAATTATCCAAATCTAAAAAGGAAATTCTTGAGGGTAAGGTGTTCTCAATACTTAAGGTCTTTCTCCTCACGACTAACTTTGATTATTAGCGGCGATGTCTCAAATTAGCACAATGGTCGAGGAAGCACTCGGGGGTATCGATCGCGACCTAGCTTCAAGCTTGAGTCAAAAACAAGAAAAATTTGATCACTGGCACTCTAAGATCCGCGAGTCTGCCAAGGCTCGCCAGATAGAGCAGAAACAACTGGATGGGTTGAAACTGAAATCTTCTGACCGGGTGGAAATTGACCGACGTATCAAAAACCTGGAACGATCTTCCGAGGGCTTGTTGGCTGCGTTAAAGGGTACACCAGGCTTTGACCCTTCACGAATCGTTGTTGTCGGCAACGCAGACATGAATTGTGGAGTGAATCTAGAAACTTTTGATCAAGTGTTCGCGGATACTTTTGATCCCTCATCCGGGTTTTCTAAAGAGCAAATTGCCTTCCTAGCAAATCTCTCATCGTCAGATATGCTCGAGCACCGACTGAAATGCTACGGGGGGTTCAACGCTGGACTCACAGCGGAAGTTGATAGCCTGAAGGCAAAGAATGCTGTCCTAGGCCAGAACTACCGTCGCATGGTGATGGCGTGTACCGGTTGGAGTGCCGACAAAGTGGATGAAGCGGCGGAGGGATTGACACAATGTGTCAAGGAGTTGAACGATAACCCCGTCCCAGAGGATGAGGCAATTGAGATCCTGATGCGGGATCGTGGACAGGACTGGTAATAAAGCAGCCATCTATTTTCCTTTCTATTTTGTCTTCTCTCTCTCTCTCTCTCTGCACCTGAGCGTTTGGGCGGTTTATGGTTGGCGTTGATTGCATTTCATTTGTACGATACAAATACCCGGGAGGTCTTCGGCTGTTGTCGATTTGCATGTGTTGTATCTTTCTCTGAATACAAATCCTTTCTATGTACATCTGACAGGTACAGTCCAGTTTTTGAGGTCCGTGGTTAGTGGCGCGTAAAGGAACGCCGGAACAAAATGAACGCCTCAAGGGGCATGCGCGGGCGACTCAGTGAGTATCATACTAATATTTCATAGAGCTTGAGGGATGGTATGTAAATGGTTCGATTCTTGAAGATTTTTATCTTTGTGTACTTTAGTAATTGCACTGATGATGTTGAGGTGGGGTGGATGTGGCAATACTTTTTTATACTTCAAATATGTGCGGGTAACAGTTCACTCCACGCACTTCCACCTCTGTACACACGCTATCGATAAAGAAAAAATCGAAAAAAGATCGCGGGGTCGTATTCCATTCCCATCGCACTTTCGAGAGAAGACCCCGCGGAGACCTCAAGTTGTGTCGGATCTTAGCTTTCCTTGATCGAACATCTTGGTGACAGCAGTTCGACATGAGCCAGTCCCCCCTCCCCTCCACGCTGAACAGCGTCTTTGATGCACCTCTCAAAGACCAATATGATCCTGTCCACCTTACTTCCGACAACATTGTCCCAATTCTCGAGCTACCGCTAGCGAAGAAACTTCTGGGCCGCGAAGCCTCCGACAGCAATGCCATTGCGAAAGTTGCCAGCGACGAAACCTCCTATACCGCATTTGTCGCCGACCAAGCCCGCGCTGCTCTCCAATCGTCCCCCGACGGACTCACCTCGGAACAAACAAAATCGCAGATCCTGCATATCGGCCTGGCTGCACTGTTCGCTTTCCTACAGTCAAATGTTACCGGCCCTCCTCTAGAATTCAGCTCGTCCGATATCGTTTTCCCCACTGCCCTGCGAACCGATATCGCTACTATCCGTACCGTTCGAAACAAGATCATTCGCGACTGGTCTGTTGATGGAGAAGCGGCCTACAAGTTGACGCCAAACCCGGAGCTCTTCTCAGTCGCCAAGGGATTGCTTACAGGTGCCGAACTCGATGGCTCTATCGCAGCAAAGACTGCGCGAATGCGCGTCAATTTCCTCCACCAGAAGATGCTTTCTGAAGTTACAAGTACATTGCAGGATGCGATCTACAAGGATACCGAACAACTGGCCAAGGCTGGTCTGAACACTGAAGAGCAGAGTCGTTATTTGTTGGAGCGCGCAATTATCCACACTCACCATGGATCCGATGGCAAGGCACGAGCGGATATTGATGAGGCGTCCAAAATTCGGAATTTCGAATTCGCCCTGACTGGACAGATGGGAAAGCGAACGAAGTTCCAAGAGCGCGACACTAGCCAGCTTGTGATTCTGGCAAAGAGCGCTGATGTGACACCGGATTCTACCAATGCCTCTGGTCCCAAGAAACTGAATCTGGATGATGATACCCTCCTCGAAGCTATCTCCTTCGCCGATAAAAAGTCCGGAACTGTTCAGGATGACCTTTCTCCTGCTCTTCAATCAGTTGACCCCAATGACCAACCTATTCTCAACCCCGTGGACTCTGCCATTTTACTCGCTATGGCCTCCGCTATCACCAACACTGCCCCAGAGAACGGACTGACCCGGGAAGAAACCCAGCCATACGCTACCAGAGTGTTGGAAGGCGGAAGCTCTAACTGGCAAATTTATACCGAGGCTTTGCTTCTCCGCAGCCGAGTGGAAGGCTACCGGGCCCGCACTGTTGAGCGAGCTGTTCTACAAATGCAAGCACTTGTTGATCAAGTCCTTGCGGACACAGCTACTAATGATTCGGCGGCCCAACAACCGTCATCGGATCCAACAACCTTCCTTCCACGCCCTGAAAAGGACGAGTCTGCCCCAGCTGCCAGTCGACTCGAATATATCTGGATTATGAACTTCTCAACCCGATGGAAGTTAGAGGCTGAGCTGGCCAAACGCTGGGTCGAGCTGGGTGGTCTTCGCACTGCTCTTGAAATTTACGAGAGGCTTCAGATGTGGGCCGAAGCAGCCCTTTGTTATGCAGCTACCGAGCGGGAAGAGAAGGGTAAGTCTATGGTGCGCCGTCAACTATACGAAGCCAAGGGCCAAGATGAGAATGACGATAATGAGCTCTTCGAGGGCCCCGAGCGGTCACCTCTACCTGCCGATGCGCCTCGCCTATTCTGCATCCTGGGAGATATCGACAGGGACGAAAAAATGTATGAGCGTGCTTGGGAAGTCTCCAACCAAAGATATTCTCGTGCTCAACGATCATTGGCTCGACACTACCTGGCCCTCAAACCACCAGCGCTCGAGAAGGCCGAAGAAGCCTACAGCAAAAGCTTGCAGATCAACCGCCTCAATCACAGCTCCTGGTTTGCATATGGATGTGTTCAACTCGAACTCCAAAAGTGGGAAGATGCCGCAGCCTCCTTCACCCGTTGCGTGCAACTAGACGATACCGACGGAGAGGCCTACAGTAACCTCGCAGCGGCGATCATGCACCAACCCGAACCAGAGCCGACAACTGAAGTCACAATCGACGAAAGCACAGGCGAAGAAATCAAACTCGAAGCCGACCCCCACAAGCGCAAACGCGAGGCCCTAGCTGCTCTCCAACGCGCCGCTCAACTCAAGAACACCGACGCTCGAATCTGGGACAATGTCCTAACAGTAGCAGCCTCGATCCCGCCTCCCTCAACACCATTCCGCGATGTCATCACTGCGCAAAAGAAAGTAATTGAAATTCTCGGCGCCAAGAAGGGCGAGAAGTGTATTGATGGTCCGATTCTGGTTATGCTGGTCGACGTTCTCGTCACGGCTTTCGATTACGAATCTCTATACGTTCAATCTGATTCTGGTCCCGTTTTTAGGTCGGGTACTATCCCGGGTCAAATCCTCTCTCTTATTGACGATAGCGTTGTCCCACTGATCACCCACTCTGCTTCTCTCTGGCTGCTCGTTTCCCGCGTCGAGATGTTCCGCAACAGACCCAGCCGCGCACTGGAGGTTCAAGAGAAGGCTTGGCGCGCTGCTGTCGCTGCTTGTGCGCAAGGTGCATTCCAGATGGGTGATGAGAAGCCCTGGTTAGAGGTTGTCCGTGCCACGGAGAGACTTGTGCGCGAGGGATATGCGCGGTATGGACCGATGGATAAGGAAGGTCAAGAAGAGGGCGCCGATGGAGAGACTGAGATGGTTGCTCGTGATTGGAGATTCAAGGCGCGGAGTGCTATCAGAGGAATTATGGGCAAGGGCAAAGACTTCTGGGAAGACTCTGAGGGATGGACGAGGCTGAAGGAGTTGCAGGGCGAGGTCACTGGAAACTAAGTGCGTCCGTTGCAAAATTAACTTTGAAAATACATTTATAGCATTAGAATTGTGATTATGTTCCACGACACTACACTCTCTCTATCATATCTACTCGTACCTACTGCGTTACTTTTGGGACTTATCAATCAGTAATGAGAGCAGGATGGAAGGAAAGACAGTAAGTATTTTTTTTATCCAGCGTGGAATTCAACTACTTTTAACTATTTCTCGGATGCTTGTGGCTTGCTCAATTCCAGTTTTCTCTTCAACATCCCGCAGAAACTTTCGAACAACACACTATCCATACCCTGGATCCAGTGTATCACAATCTGTACTTCATTCTTATTCGAAGAATCCGACTGGCCCCGAACAAGCTTGGCCTCGACACGAATGCCCAAAGCAACCCCATCCGGGACAGTATCAATCTTCGCAGAAGAACCGCCCTGTCCAGCCAATTTCATCTTCCGACGCGCTTGTCTTGACCAAACATTCTCAGTGGCAAATCCAACGCCAGCGCTGCGAGATTGATCCCATTCCCAGAACCAACGAAGCGACTCTAACTCTTTGTCCATCGATGTTGTCGCATCGTCAATAGAGATCTCACTTGGGAGTGTGAAGTTATATTCAGCAGGGAAGGGAAGTAGATGTTTAGGGAATCCAGGAATCCCCCTAGCAACACTCTGCAAGGTGTGTTAGAAGCGAGAACCTGTGATGTAAAACCAATAAGGCAGAGGTGGACGACATACCATGAAAGGACGACGATCTCCCCAAGACCAGGCCAAAGCCCAACGTTTAGTTTTACTCCCTTGAACGAATTCCGTCACGGCATAGTTGTGATTACCATGTTTGATGAGCGCTTCGACCAGAACGGTAACACTACTCAGTTTTCCAAGCATAGAAGTGTACCATTGGATACGATCTCGAAGATCGAGACTCTCATCGATCATTTTTGTGACAAATGCGACTTCTCCGCCCTTCGTGACCATTTCCACATCGGCGCCTGTGCAGACTGATGAGGGTTGCTGTGATTTACTTTCTGATGATTGGGCCATTTCTTCGCGTGATGTGTAGAATGGGGGGTTGCACATTGTGAAATCGAGGCTTTTCCCTTGTTAGACGGTGGTGTTTGACTCGGTTTAAAATATTCATACCTATTTTGCTCGATCTTGTCCAGTGGGAAGAGGGCATCCTTGGGGTCTGTCTTGATGACTCGAATGCGAGATTCGAGCTGGTTCGTTTTCACATTCTCCTGTGCAGTTCGTGCATTGTTCTCATCAATGTCTAAAAGAGGGAAAGAGAAAGAAAGCTTTAGCACTGCAGCAGATACCAGAGAATGGAGATATAGTACCGGTGGCGACAAACTCCCAGGAAGGTCTGGTTTTGCATCCGAGCAACGGGTAGATGCTGCAACATCCCGTTCCACTTGAGACGATTAGCTGAGTTCGAGTTGCTCTTTCTGATTCAGGTGTCGAACTTACATGTCAAGACCTATGACTTTCTCTTCAGCGTCATTTCCGATATTCGATGTCTTTGACGTCGATTCGACAATATCGTGCAACCAGAGTATGTAATTCAACCTGGAACATTTAGACCATGTTCGTCCGAGGGAATAAGATCACCTATACCTGTTTGGGACCTGCAGATATTCTTCGTTGGCTTAATTGCTCGGGATTTCATGCACACTATACGTACTGGTGGACAGAGTCGGTCTTCTGGTAACTTCACATCAAGTCCGAAGTCCTGCTTGAGCAGGCTGATTGTCAATTGCCTACATTCCGATAAGCTTGTAGTTCGAACAGACCTTATAAGGTTTAGATCACCCGGGACCATGATATTACCTCACTGCATCTGAATCATTGAAGTCCAGCTGGCCATTTGGTTTCAAGCTGGAGGTGATGAGGTTGCATCAGATTGCGTCCGATCTCTTGGGATAACGAATAAGGAATGCTGAATACGTACTATTGCGCAAATTCCTTGGATTGCAAGGACAATGCAGCAAAATCGACATCGTTCTTGTATAAATCTCGGAAAGAGCCCATGGTTGAAAGTTGAGATGTAGTACAAGTCTTAGTTTGATGCTGGAGAAGGCGGCTCCGTTGAACCCGCGCCAAGAAGTGACCGCACGGGCCGTCTTTAAACCCGCAACCTTCCAACTTTCTTTGCCCGCAACGCGCCTGAAGCTGAGCATCGCGACGTGGAATCTCTACAGAGTACTGGTCGAAATTCCACCTTGATCTGACGTCTGAGTGAATTGCGATTCAGCAGGTCACTTCGAAAGAAAAGAAGACCACTTGTGCCACCCTGGCTTAAGCGCCGGCAACATGTACAATCCCTACCAACAACGTGAGTGACTCTTCTCAATCATCAACCTCAATCTCGCAGGCCCTGCAATCGCTTGGATTCTTCGAAGCTGACTTGATTCTTAGCTCCTGGTCTATACGGCCGAGCCCCCGAGTATGGCGCATACCCTGCTGCACCCCCGGGAATGGGTAAGTTTCGTTTCGAAAAGACCACCTCACGCGCAAAAGCTTCAACGCTGACTGGCTCTAGCACCACCTCCAGGCATGGCCGCACCCGGTACTGGTGCCCCTCCGGGTATGCAACAAGCAAACGCCCAACAACCTGGTCGCCCCGGAGGCTTCCCGGCCAATTTCCAACCGCCCCCGAACATGCCGAACATCAACTTCTCCGCACCAGTCATTCGTTTAGGTACCTCGGGTCCCGCAAAGCCTACAGCACCAGAGAGCGGCCGTGAACGAGGACCTGAGGGTCCAGGCCGGCGCGCAGGTCTCGGATCGACAAGTAATGACAACCCGCGCCACCACGGCCGCGACTCGATGATGCAGCTCCAGCCGCCGACCCGGGATGAAATTGTGCGCACATTGTTTGTTGGGGGAATTACGGAGGGTGTTGGTGGTGATGATGGTATTGAACGAATCCTTCAATCGGCGGGTAAGCTGCGCCGTTGGATCCGTGCCACAGATGCCGATGAAAAGCCCTGTCGGTTTGGTTTCGCCGAATTCGAGGATCCTGATAGCCTGGAGATTGCTGTGGAGGTGTTGAAGGACATCGAGGTACCTGTGAAGCGCCAGGGTCCTAGCACTGGTGATGACGATGAGGAGAAGGAAGTCGAAAAGAGCACCCTTTTGGTATGTATACGCGCTTCTATTCCGTTGTTTTTTAAGGCATTTCTAACACTATTTGCTAGGTTGTTGTTGATGAGAGTACTATGACATATCTAGAGCAGTTCGTTGCTAGCCGTGGTGAGCGGGATCCCCAGGAACTCCAAAAACGCCTTGATACTGCCCGCAGCGACCTGAAGGGCGTCTTGTCCGGCCTGTTTCATCCGGCTACTCCAATCCAAAAGGAAGACATCTCGACTCTCGACAGGGAAGGCGATATCGAAATGAAAGACACCGAAGCTCCTAAGGATGGCGAGGTCGTCACCATTCCCATCACTGCAGAAGATGAACTGGCTGATATCCCTCCTGAGATGCGCGAAAATGTGGCCAAGGAGATTGCGGCTTTCCGTGAGCGAAGCAATCGCCGGGATATCGAGCGGCTGAAGCGCGAGGAAGAAATCGAGGCAATGGAGCGTGCCCGGAACTCGGGCTCGCGGTACAATCGTCTCACCTCTCCTCCAGCCTCGGCTCCTAGTGGTCCTGCTGGTGGCGCCAATGGTATTCCTCTGGGTGCACGTGAGCGCGGTATGCCCAACGCCCCAGCAGCTCCGAAGGGATTCGGTGTGCAGATCCCCAAGGATTATCAGAAGGGCGTGTCCTTTGTTAACGGCGGCATGAACGGAGGCGGAGCCTATAATGATCGAGAGGACGAGGACTCCGATGCCAGCGACGAGGAGCTTGAGCGTCGTCGTCAAGATAAGCGCAAGGCAGAGCAAGAGAAGCAATTCCTCGACCAGGAACGCCGCTGGCTCAATCGGGAGCGCAGTCGTACAGCCGCTTTAGAACGTGAAAAGAAGCGAGACAAGGAGGAAGACGGCAAGCTCCAGGCTCTCCACGACGAGGCCGATGAGAGGCTTAAGGAGTGGAATGATGATACGGAGGCCAGCCGCAAGGTTACTGAATACTACGCAGATCGCGGCGCGTGGCTCCGTAGTCGGGCTGCTTTCCGTGCTCGTGAGATTAGCATCGATGAAGCTGATCGAGCTGCGGAGGAGCGCGAACTTGCTCGTTCGGCTCAGCAACAAGAGCAGGCCCGTGGAGCCGCCGACGACTTCCTCGCACGCCAGGCGCAGGAGCTCGAGGCCCGCGCTCCAGCTCCCCGCGAAGAGCCCCAACGCTTCAAGCTATCCCTTGGCGCAGCTGCACAAAAAGCCCAGGCCGCGACCAGCCGTCGCACGGTTGCCGAAGTCGAGGGCTTGTTGGAGGACGAGGAAGAGCCCGCCAGCTCTGTCCGCCGTCCTCTTATTCCCATCAAGTTCGATTCCGCTGCCGAGGCTGCTGGTCTGTCGGACGAGGAACGAGCCCAGGCTGCGCGCCAACTTGCCGCAGAGATTCCGGCCAACAAGGAAGGCCTCTGGAAGTGGGAGGTCAAGTGGGAATTCGTGGACAACGCCGTCATCAGCGACCAGATCAAGCCTTTCGTCGAGAAGAAGATCGTCGAATATCTTGGTGTGCAGGAGCAAATGCTTGTGGACGTTGTGGAGGAGCACATCCGGCAACGCGGATCTCCCCAGGAGCTCGTGGAGCAATTGGAAGAGGTGAGACCATCCATTCTATCTAAAAACCGTGGAGAAATAGCATTGCTAACAGTGATTTCTTAGGCATTGGACGAGGAGGCCGAGGTGCTTGTGCGCAAACTTTGGCGTATGATTATCTTCTTCTCGGAGAGCGAGAAGCGCGGCCTGTCGGCTTAAGGGCTGCTCTAAAGGACTTTGGGGCCAAGTTAGAAGAGGCACTGATATTTCATATTCCCATAAGGCATTTCAAGCAGATTATATCGGTAGAAATGCTCTACCTTTCCTTGCAATTAATTACGATGGAGTTTGTATGTAGTACATCGTTAAATATCCATGAAGTCCAAGTTCCATCAGCCTTATTTTAGATATAATATTAGTGCCCATAGTGTTTAGATGCGCTACTAGGTACTACTAGTACTACTACTACCTAGCCCTCCAAGTTTTGGCCAGTCCACTGCAATACTACTAGCCAATGGATATCCGATGGGATAATTAATGGAAATAGTATATCCGGTCCCCGCGTCCGGAGTTACCCCGAGTTCCCAGCCGAGATTATGATTGGTGGAAAAAGATTCTCCATCAACCAGACACTTCGATTGGACTAAACCCCCATGAAAATGGAGGCCACTGGGGCAAAACGAGGGGTGAGGAGGGGAATTATCGTTGCGCGTGGGGGGGTGACAGGCCTCTATATACAGGCCACGAGTCGCAAATTTCTCCCGGTTCACTTTTCAATATTTTCTTCTTTCCATATTTTCCATATCCCCCCCCCTTTCCGTCGTTTTCTTGAACATTTTCTGCTTCAATTCCGCGGTAGATCTTGCCCCGGAAACACTCCCCGCATATCTACGTTCTACGTCCTGCATTGTCATTGCACAACAAAACACTGCCGCGCGCAATTGAACTCAATCCGACTATTGCAATCACTGAACCTCAGTCACAATGGTCAAGATCACTGGCTTCACCACACGGGATGTGCGGTTTCCCGTAAGTTCAACTTCTCGCGCAAACTCCTGCTCCGTGTGTTGTGTCGGGCTTTCACTAACCATGTCTACAGACTTCCCTCGACAAGACTGGCTCTGATGCCATGAACGCAGCTGGTGACTACTCTGCTGCCTACTGTATCATCAACACAGACTCTGACTTCAGCGGACACGGCATGGTACGACCTTCCTTACCTTCCAGTTCAAGACCCCACAACTCGGTTTCGGTTTCATCGGAGCAACCCCGCAAAGACACTAGCTAACTCACCCTTGTGGAACAGACATTCACCATTGGCCGTGGAAACGAGATCGTCTGCGCTGCCATCTCCCTTGTTACCCCGCTCGTCGTTGGCAAGGATCTAGATGAGCTTACCGCTGACTGGGGCAAGACATGGCGCTACCTGGTTTCCGACAGCCAGCTACGCTGGATCGGCCCCGAGAAGGGTGTCATTCACCTGGCCCTTGGAGCTGTTGTCAATGCCCTTTGGGATCTGTGGGCCAAGACTCTCGGCAAGCCTGTCTGGCGTATTGTTGCGGATATGACCCCCGAGGAGTTCGTGCGTTGCATTGACTTCCGATACATCACTGATGCTATCACCCCCGAAGAGGCCATTGCTCTGCTCAAGGAGGTCGAGGGCGGAAAGCAGGACCGTATCCGTGAAGCTGAGGCTAGCCAAGCTGTGCCTGCTTACACTACCAGTGCTGGCTGGTTGGGATATGGTGAGGAGAAGCTGAAGAGCCTGCTGGACCAGAGTGTTGCTCAGGGCTACAAGCATTTTAAGCTGAAGGTCGGTGGTAGCTTGGAGGATGACAAGAAGCGATTGCGTATCGCCCGTGAGGCCATTGGTTACGACCGTGGTAACATCCTCATGGTTGACGCTAACCAGGTATGTCTCTCGTATAGTCTAGCAACTCGCATATTATGCATGAAAACTAATTGGATCTGAAACAGGTTTGGTCCGTCCCCGAGGCTATCACTTGGATGCAGGAGCTGGCTGAGTTCAAGCCCTGGTTCATTGAAGAGCCCACCTCCCCCGACGACATCCTCGGCCACGCCGCTATTAAAAAGGCTCTCGAGAACACCCCTCACGGCACCATTGGTGTTGCCACCGGAGAGATGTGCCAGAACCGCGTCATCTTCAAGCAACTTCTGCAAGCCGGTGCTCTGACCGTCCTGCAGGCTGATGCTTGCCGTGTTGGTGGTGTCAACGAAGTGCTGGCGATTCTCCTGCTAGCTCGCAAGTTCGGTGTCCCCATTGTGCCTCACTCTGGTGGTGTTGGCCTCCCTGAATACACTCAGCACCTGAGCACAATCGATTACGTTGTCGTTAGCGGCAAGAAGAGTGTCCTGGAATATGTTGATCACCTGCACGAGCACTTCGTGCACCCCTCCAGCGTCAAGAACGGTTACTATGTGACTCCCCTGGAGCCGGGCTACAGTGTCGAGATGAAGGCCGACAGCATGGATGCGTTTGCATTCCCTGGTGAGGAGGGTAAGAGTTGGTGGCGGTCAGCGGAGGCGAAGGACATTCTGGAGGGACCTCGGGTGGTATAGATTAAAATAACTTTTCCTAATGTCCTTACGTGTATTCATGTCAATATCTATATTTCAAAATATTCAGTTTCAGTCTTTTGGTTCTGGTAGGGTATTTCATTTGTTCGCCTTATTTGGCAGACTGCACCATGGCTGTGGTGTAGAATATAATACATCAATGAGGCTAGAGACATCGTCTGAGTGGGGGGCCCAGGACTCAGCCATAAAAGTACAGAGAGCACTGCTGCATGGCAGACGCTGGGTGAGGGGCATCTCCCCCGTTATAGCTCAATTTTAGCCGATCCATCAGATCATTCAGATGAGGAACGAGAAAAGCACAAAGCCGAGGATATTCAGCAGTATGTATAGCTCAACGCCATTGGATACCAAAGAGTTTTAGAGAGCTGGCCACACTGGGTCGCTCCGACGCCTTCTCCAAGACAATGCGTGAGTGTCCCTTGACATCCAAGGCAAGGAGTTGGTATTCCCACTCGGTTTTGTCCAGGTGCTTGATCATGTGTACGACGACAACGCCAGAGTTGAGGGGTCCTTCCACCTGAAGAGTATAGTTAGAAAAAGAAATAGTCTCGGAATGGGAGCTGGAGTTTAGTCTCTTACATGGAAGTTCATACGAAGATGCTCACGTCCTAATCGATCCTTCTCCTCGGTAGTGCTGTGCCAACTTATTAGCGAGAGGTCCAACGTGTATAAGTAGTTCATGCGACTTACGCAATAGGCCTGTTTCGTTGCCATCGGCTCGATGTATTCTCGCCAAATGCCCTAATCTGTCTCCGATCTCCAAGTAGCTTTGTGCATCGAGAGTCTTCCTTGATGCGATCCACAGCCTTCTCAAATTGCCAGGTTCGGCTGTTTGGCGAGACAATCTCGGTCCAGAAAAGGTAGAAGACACCACCCGTGAGAACTGCGCCAGCAATCACAACCATAAAGTTTACGGACTGTTGAGTCGCACGCGACACCTTTTCCCTACCGCTCAGCTCACCCCACTCGTATCTTCCATCGTCCGACAGTACCGTGATGTTCCTCCTCTTTGGTCGAGGCCCGGAGCCTAGATCGTTCTGGGTGGCATAGCTTCGTGTGATTTCGTACGGGATACGGGATGAGGAACGCAGAGCAGTGGAGAGGTTGACGGGGGCTCTCGGGAGAGCACGCAAATATTGAGGATTCATGCTGGACGTGCGTTCAAAAGCAAAAGCAAGGCCGTCATGCCCGTGATGCGGCGCAGTCCCCAATGCCGCAGAGTTGATAACGGCCGATAGCGAGGGCTCACGTGCTTGTGAAAGTTACAATACGGTAATTTTGCAAGTCGGGTGGCGTAATTCCGATAGTTAATGGTAGTCACTGGCCACTCCACACGCATTCGGCGCCACCACCAGATTGCAAATTACACCCAGGCACAGAGTCCAGTCCAGTCCAGTCCAACTCCGACCACGTTCATCCTTCGCCATTCCTCCCCAAGTCTCGGCTTCTTTTTTTAACACTGCTGGGCATCTTTTCCCCTCCCCCTCCAGTTCACCATGAGTGCCTCCAAGGCGCAGTCTCAAAAGATCTTTGAGAAGCTGAAGCTGAAGCCCGCAAACAAGGTGCGCACACCACCCCGCCATCCCCGGTGCGGCCCTCGTGTTATTCAGAGCATTGGTCACTAATATGATCCTGGCGATTAGGTCTGCTTCGACTGCAACTCTAAGAATCCCACCTGGTCATCAGTCCCACTCGGTATCTATTTGTGCCTCGACTGCTCGGCTCACCATCGCAACCTCGGTGTCCACATCTCCTTTGTTCGTTCGACCAACCTCGACCGTATGTTTTTGTGATCTTCGCCCCCCTCGATCCGTTAGCGCCTCACGCCCGAAATTGACTAACACATGCGATTCAGAATGGCAATGGGAACAGCTGCGAGTGATGAAGGTGGGCGGAAATGAGTCGGCGACCAAGTACTTCCAGTCGCACGGTGGATCTGCGGCGCTGGCGAGCAAGGATCCCAAGGTCAAGTATACCTCCAATGCGGCTGTCAAATATAAGGAGGAGCTCAAGAGACGTGCGGCGGCGGATGCGCAACAGTCAGTATACCCGCTTGAACGAACATTGGACAACCTCGAATATTGGTGTTGATGGTTATTGTTGATCTAGGTTTCCCAGTGGGGAGGTGGTCATTACCGACTTGCCCGCTGGCACTCCATCCGACGGCTCGAACACTCCTGCTGAGGCAGATGACGATTTCTTCTCTTCCTGGGACAAGCCCTCCATCAAACGCCCGAGCAACCCTCCATCCCGCACTGGAACGCCACCTGTCGTGAGCCGAACCGGATCCCCTTTCCTGAACGCCGGCGCAAACGGATCTCGCTCAAAATCTCCTCTGTCCGCGTCCGAGGAGAAGGCTTCATCTCCTGCCCCGACTGCCATTCGTCCTTCCTCCTCTACTCGAAAGATTTCTACGGCCAGCGGTGCTAAGAAGGGTGGCGTTCTGGGAGCCAAGAAGGCGCCCAAGCTCGGAGCGAAAAAAGTGGTCGCCAGTGACATTGATTTCGACGAGGCGGAGCGTAAGGCCAAGGAGGAGGCCGACCGCATCGAGAAGCTTGGTTACGACCCCGAAGCTGAGCAGGCTGAGGCCGATGCAAAGGCCAAAGCCGCCACTGCGGCCGCTCCCATTGCTTCTCCCGCCCCTATCAGCCCACAAAGCAAGACCCACGAGCGCAACTCTAGTGACGTTGAGCGACTTGGCATGGGTATGAACAGACTTGGATTTGGTCAAGTGTCGAAGCCTGCGGCTCCCAAGAAGCTTGGCTTTGGTGCCGTTGGCGCTGCCAAGTCCCCCTTGAATGGTATGTAATTCCCATCCCAGCTCTTCCAGTCAGCAGCTAATATTTTCCACAGAGGAGGAGCTTGCTGAGTCCCGGACACGCTTCGGCACCCAGAAGGGTATCTCGTCTGATGAATACTTCGGTCGCGAGCGTTTCGATCCCAACGCCCAGGCTGAGGCTAAGCAGCGACTGCAAGACTTCGGCGGTGCGACGTCGATCTCCAGCAATGCATACTTCGGCCGGCCCGAGGATGAGCTCCCTGCGATGGATGACGGTTATGGCGATCTCGAAAACGCGGCCAAGGACTTTGTCCGTCGCTTCGGAATCACTGCTGGAGACGACCTCGAGAACTTGTCTCACATTGTCGGCGAGGGGGCTACCAAGCTTCAAGGTCAGTTCTTCTAGTTTTTTCTTCTTCTAGTTTTTCCAGTATATACAAAGTATTCGGAACGTTTGTGCGCTGACCGTGCTGAGCATAGGTGCCATTCGCAACTACCTGAACAACTAAATGCCATGACTACATATTATTGTCATATCAAATACCTACTTAGCAAGCCTACTATTGATCCCCCTTCTTGTGATGTGTGACGTATACTTTTGGCCCGTCCAACACCTCGCTATCAACCACGGCCCCCTTCTTGTTCATTCGCCTAAAATGACCACCGTCACGGATATCTAGTTATTGGAGATCCTCTGCTCGGGTGATGGGTGGATGCTCAAGAACCTTATTTACCATTTGTTTTTTCTGCTTTGTCTCGTTTTCGCCATACCACACGGATGAATATGCAAGACCTTATTCCCTTTGTCACTTCCTATGTCTTTTCCTTAGTATGATTTCGAACCAGTCGCAAAATAAACGGATACGCTTTGCACCCCCTTTTGATTTGGAACAAGTGAAGCCATATGGAGTGCACGGATCAGAATAGCAAGTTGAGACTCATAATTGCATTCTAGCTAAATGAATACTACTAGTATGACTGAGAGCCCCCTCCAGAAGAACATGTTCACTAAGGCTTCGAGAAGTAAGCGTTCGCCATATTCAGAAGGTAAGCCGCATTTTTATTCTCAAGCCGACTTTTCATTCCCCTGAATATTTCTGCCTTTTCAATTCTAGTCGGTTCAGAACCTCGATGGCTTACGCAGCATGAGCATTCCACTGTGCAATGGCCTGTGCCTCTCTCATAAGATTTCGTAGCACGGAGCGCACAACAACCACAGCCACGACTGCAACATCCATCTCGGCCCACGCAATCTGTAATCAACTTTTTGCGCATGTACCATCTGGGCTTCTTGTGCAAATGTTCGTAGTTATGCTTCGATGAGTATGTATCAAGCATGGACTCTGCTTCGTAGAGTTTGTATGACACGTCGTTCCACTCAAGTCGAACATTGTAAAGTTGACCATGCAAATCTTTGACCATATCTTTGTTGGAGTCGCTGGGCGTGCAGGCACCGTCAATTTTTCGTTTGATCCTTTCCTGCTGCTGGGCGTTCATACGAAGCTTATAATCGGCGATGATGATTTGAATAAAGATATCTCGGCCGTAGTATTTACAAATAAAAGGACGTGTGTTACCGTACCGAAGATGTGTGGTATAATCATGTTTATCAATATCCCACCTGCCGTAGTGTCTTCCAACGTGAAATCTTCTATGCCAGAAAGATCCATGGCCGGTGAAAAATTCTTCCAACGTCATTCGGATAGAAGCTGATCGACTGCTCGAACTTGAAGTAGTGAGTGTAAAAGCGTAAAAGGGTGTGCTGGATATCTGCAGATGGGATAGATTCTGTGAAATATATCTGGGCAGTATGATACACAGCAAGAGGTTGAGTAGTATTACTAGAATTTCAAGTTCAAGTTGTTGCGATAGAAGAAAGAAAAAAGTATTCCACCAGCTGTATCTGCGGGCCGCATCTCGAAATGGAGGCCGCCGCCGGAAATGATAGTATTGCTAATAGCAAACGGACAATAATTACGTAGTGAAAGTCTTCAACCGATATCTTGGCGTTGAGATACAACGGAGATTTATAAGAATGCTGGTTGTTTAATTGAATTTTTGGAACAAAATGCGGCCAATGATGAGGGAGATCGGGAGGCATAAAATACTATGGGTTGCTACGAGAATCGATAGTATTGCCAGTGAGCATCAGGAATATCTCATGATACTAGTACCTAGGTACTAACCCTGTCTTTCCATTTACCAGTGTATGATTTAGGGTATGTCCAGGTTAAAAGCGTCTGGCCATAGCATTCGAAAGTCGGTAGCTAACTATGGTCATCTGGTTGCACAATGTACTATATTCCATTCTGTGGCCTCGTACTCGTATTGCGGCTGAACGTCTTCTCACTATTTATGCTCGTCAAAATTCGGATGATGCCTGTCTCCAATAATGTGGAGCTAGTATTTCACTATTTATCTCATAAATCTGGCCTGAAATCCTCGATCTATATCCGAACATAATATAAATGATCATTCAACTGCATGCAATAAGCAGAATTAAACGAACCGCTAGTTTCTTGGCATGATGCAACCCATTTCAGTGTTAAGCCTGAGGCACCAACCGTGTAAATCGGGCTATTCCGTACTCACTAACTAAAATTTCTCCATAGATCATATATAACTGACGGTGAATAGTAAATGAACAAAATGCCATCTGATTGGGCTACAAAATTCGCTCAACGACGGGGGCTTGTGACGCGGGGGCTAAAGTAAGGGGGTAGAATATACTCCCCGTCTCCGCGGGCTCCGCCACAATGCCGAGACTTTTGAACCGCCGCATTAGACCGCAATTTTTCACCACCGTATTAGTCGTCATATTGCATGCCATTGCAACCTCCTGGGCCCTTCGTCCTACTATTATTTCCCAACCATCACACCTCTTCCATATGGGCCAATCCAGCTTGATTCTCGACTCTCGCTTGCAAAATGGGGCTGATGGATGATTTCCGCTTGCGACGGTCCATCCTTGCCACCAATAATGAAGATACTGCCGCCAACGAAAAGCCCCATAACCAAGATTCTGCCCAGGGAGAGAGACGATATAGCTTCTTCAGCACTCGGCTGAACTGCGTCGCCCATGCCGACAATCTTTCTTCGTTACAGTCATTATGTGACCCCTTTAATCATCTCATGGAAACGGGCGTGCATCTCGGGCTTTGGTGGCTTCATGTGACATCACCGTCTAATGAGGATATTGAGGCGCTGTCGCGGTTATTGGATATTCACCCCCTCACGACAGAGGATATAAAAATGCGCGAAGTCCGAGAGAAGATCGAGCTCTTTGGTCCTTATTATTTTGTCTCCTTGCGGCTTCCTCTCGAGCCGGACGCTGTCGCGGGAGATCTGGACGACTCGGATAATTTCTATGGCGTCGTGTTTCACGATAGCATTTTGAGCTTTACTTTTGATGAAACCCCCCACCCTGCGCATGTCTGGAACCGCATCAACGACCACCAGAGTCATTTGTCGTTGACTAGTGATTGGATTTGCTACGCTCTTATGTACGCACCCACCTCCCCCACCAACCGTGTGCAATATTCGATTACCTTTGTCAGTCCCCATGAGCTAACTTTCTCTCCGAAGTGATGATATCGTGGATGGGTTCGCACCCCTCATAGACCGAGTCACGACAAGCGTGGAAGTAACCGAAGACACACTGGATATAACCCAGCCCGACGACATCGGTCTTGCTTTGCAGAACATCCACAAATACCGCAAAGAGGTCACTCACATCCGTCACCTGCTCAACGATAAAACGGATGTTGTGAGGTGCTTCGCCCGTCACTGTAGTAGTCTGGGCACTTCGCCTTCCGATGTCGCTTCATACTTGAGCGATATCCAGGACCACGTCTTGACCATGATGTCCCACTTGACCAACGCAGAGCAGATGCTGTCGCGATCCCAAACTAAATTCATGAGCAGAATCGCGTTTGATTCTACTCGTATGCGCAATCAAATCGCTGAAACCCTCAGCCGTCTCACTGCGATTGGATCAATTGTTGTACTCATGCAGGTCACGACGGCTTCTTTTGGTATGAACGTCGAGGTGCCTGGTAAGGAGGTCAAGAATGTGGCGTGGTGGTGTGGAATTTTGGGATTCGAAATCCTTGTCGCAGTATTACTTTTGTTCATTCTCAGGAAAGCTCGGATTATATAGCTACCTCCCGAGATCAGTCATAAATATTGGAAATATAGTATTTATTAGCGCGAATATATGCTGGAAGAATACATAAATGCCAGTGGCTTGTTGATATGCAGAAGAAGTTGAAGAATACCAAATGTTTTGTACGCCGAGTTGGACCAGCTGAGCTCCATGGTGAATGAAGAGAGCATTCTCAGTCCGCCCTATGCAATGTTGAACTTAAAAAGGAAAATCATCAGTCCCCAATCAAGAGGACCTGCTTGCCTTGTTATACACGGTATATCGCATCCGCGACTTTAGTCACCTGCCACATCTCATGTACATCATGCACACGAACAATATCAGCCCCACCGGCCACACTAGCCGACACAGTAGCTGCAGTACCCCAAACTCGCTCACGGGGGGGTCTTCACGCCAGTAATGTGACCAATGAATCGTTTCCGACTGGGACCCATCAACCAAGGGAAGCAGTCAAGTCCCTCTACCTCCCGCAGTCGAGACAACTCACGTAGAATCTCCAAATCCTCCGGCTGATTCTTCGCGAAGCCCAGGCCTGGGTCAAGAATGATGCGCCAGCGACGAATACCAGCTTCCTCGGCAGCTTCGATGCGTTGATGCAGCTCGGCCGCAACGCTGGGGATGACTCCGTCGGGGTAGTCGGTTAACTTGGTCATTGTTTGCGGGGTGCCACGCATGTGCATCAAGATGATGGACTTGCCAATACGGGCTGCGGTGGGTAGCATCTCGGGATCAAGGGTACCCGCCGAAACGTCGTTAATAATATCGGCGCCAGCGGCACAGGCGGCTTCGGCTACGCTTGCGCGGTAGGTGTCGATGCTGATGGCGATATTGGCGGCTTCGGGGATAGATGTGCGGATGTGTTTAATTGCGGGGACGACGCGGGAGATTTCTTCCTCTGCGCCTACGGGCGTTGATCCTGGTCGTGTGCTTTCGCCGCCGATGTCGATGATAGTGGCTCCGTGGGCAATGAAGTTGCGGACAGTCTCAGTGATGTAGGTCATGTCTGATGGGGCGTGCTTTCCACCGTCAGAAAATGAGTCTGGAGTGAGGTTCATGATAGCCATGACGTGTGTGTTGCGTTTAGGGTCTGTTGCGTGGATGGCGGGAAATTGGGGAGAAATTGGCGTTGTTGAGTATGGTGTTGGCTCTGGGGGTGGCAGAGATTTGAGATGATCTAGGTATGTTTTGGAGCTCTTGCCAGATTGAGGTGGTCGTTCATGAGGGATGAGTCTGATTGTATTAGCTGGGTAGGTTCGAGGTTGTAGTAGTATGTATCAGATCATGACGTACTGGCAGAGAGGGCGGAGCACGAAATCACGCTCTAGCATGAGATTATGCGGAACGTTCAGGCGTTCGTGGGAGAATGTTTCTTGATCATAGAGTAGAATGTCGAGATCGATAGAGCGCGGGCCCTTGTCAATCAACTTCATTCTACCTAGTTCATTCTCAATAGACTGAAGGGCATCCAAAAGGTCCATGGGCGCGAGGGTTGTTTCAACCTTGAAGCAGTTAGTTTAAGTCAAAGCATGGAGAAAGGAGGCAAAGAAAGAAGAAAAAATATTTGGTTCTCTGCAGGGGAGTAATACCTCACAAACTCCATTAATGAATGTACCTTGATCAAGGACATACATCGGGGTTGTCTCGAACAGAGAACTCGTCCGTTTGACCCTGATACCAGCTCGGTCCAACTCGAGACAAGCCTTTTCAATCATTTCCACTCGGTCTCCAACATTACTACCGAGGGCAATGAAGGCCCGGTGAGTCTGCAGGCCATCTTGCACATTCATTTTGGCACCTAGGCGCGGCTCTTGCCCGCAAGAAAATCTCCGCGCGTAAGCTTTCAAGTACGATAGCGGGGTCATACGCTTCGGGTGGACATCTTCACTGCGCAAGGACAAGACTGTCGGGTCGCGCATAGGAGATTGATCTAGCTAGGCTTAGTTTTGAATCGAAGGTAAGAGATGTGCAGTGGAACAAGGGATGTAAAAAATGCATGGCGTCCCGCAAATTTTTTTTTTCTGGGGCGATACAGATAAATGATAGATAACGCCATTGCGGCAACATGGAAATTGAAACAGTGGAATTGGGAATTGGGAATTGCGGAGGCAACCTACTCGAACGCGCAGAGGAAGTAATACTATAACTATATGTTAGACACAATTCTTGGAAGTATTCCTCGGCGATCAATAATCAGGGACCTGCCTTCTAGCCCAATACCCGTGAAAAGACCGAGCGCAATGCCGCGTCGAATGCGGAGTCCCCGGCTGTAACGGTAACCGTCTAACCGATCTCAATGGCTGTGGTGAGGAGAGAATCTCGCGAGCACAAGTCCATGCTGATAGACTATGGCCAGACCCTCGGTACAGTGCCCCTGAGCCCATCCTTGTGGTGATTCAATTAGGAAGACCCTAGTTTAGTGTTGCCATCACGGAGGAAGGGGCCGGGTGCACGTGAGGAGATCCGGTGCTTCCCCGGAAGTTCTGCCTGAATGCCTTACCGCCTTACCGTCTTGATGCCTTGATGCCTTTGGAGTTAGGTGTCAGCCCCCTCCTCAATCTGGGCCGAGGCTCATGCGATCATCTGTGAAAGCGCCTCGGCTGACTGCTTCTTATAGGTGTCCGCCTTCCCCGGATTCTTTCTCTCTTCCAGTTTTCACTTCCACACATCACATCCACCATGGCTTCTCCTCGTATGCTCCACCATCTTATCTCTCATATCAGATCTTCTTGCTAACCATGTCTCTGCCTCAGAGGTCATCCGCACTCCCATCACCGATCTGCTCAAGATCAACCACCCCGTTCTGCTGGCAGGCATGAACGTGGCGGCCGGCCCCAAGCTGGCTGCTGCTGTCACCAACGCCGGTGGTCTGGGTGTTATCGGTGGTGTTGGATACACCCCCGAGATGCTGAAGGAGCAGATCGCTGAGCTGAAGAGCTACTTGACCGACAAGAAGGCTCCTTTCGGTGTTGACTTGCTGCTTCCCCAGGTCGGCGGCAGCGCTCGCAAGACCAAGTGAGTTCTCATCCCATGTGATACCGGTGGTATCCACCAACTTATGATTTTTTTCTTCCCAGCTATGACTACACCAAGGGTAAGCTCAACGAGCTCGTCGATATCGTCATCCAGGAGGGCGCCAGCCTCTTTGTCTCCGCCGTCGGTGTCCCCCCCCAAGGCTGTTGTTGACAAGCTGCACGGCGCTGGTATCCTCTGCATGAACATGATCGGTCACCCCAAGCACGTTGCCAAGTGCCTCGCTGTCGGCGTTGATATTATCTGCGCTCAGGGTGGTGAAGGCGGTGGTCACACCGGTGATGTCCCCACTACCATCCTGATTCCCGCCGTCGCCAAGCTCGTTCAGGGCAAGAAGAGCCCTCTGACCGGTCAGCCCGTGCAGGTCATCGCTGCTGGTGGTCTTTACAACGGTAACTCTGTTGCTGCCGCTCTCATGCTCGGCGCTTCCGCCGTTTGGATCGGTACCCGCTTCATCCTGGCTGATGAGGCCGGTGCCCCCAAGGCTCACCAGGAGGCTGTCCGTACCGCTGGCTTCGAGGATAACATCCGTACCATTATCTTCACTGTATGTGACCACCCTGATTGATATTTGTATTAACGTTGTGTAACTGACTAACAATTACTCTAGGGTCGCCCCATGCGCGTCCGCAAGAACGAGTACATTATGAACTGGGAAGATAACCGCGCCGAGGAGATCAAGCAGCTCACTGCCAAGGGTGTTATCCCCGTCGAGCACGACTTCGAGAACCTGCCCGATGACGTCGATGATGACTACCTTGACAACGCCCGTCCTTATCTGATGGGTAAGGTCTCCGCTGTTGTCGATGAGAAGAAGCCCGCCAAGGCTATCGTTGATGAGCTCGTTCACGATGCTGCTGCTCTCCTGAAGAAGGGTGAAAAGATGGTTGCTAAGCTGTAAATAATTCTCTTTTTTTGTTGTCTCATCTAGCATACTCGGTCACAAGTACATAGTTCAATAAGACCATTCTTAAAAATTATTGATTATTTCCATCAGAGGGGTAATTGCATGAATACTGAATACCATATTCTTTCATCTGTATAGGTAGTACGCCCGGCCGATAATTCTAACAAGGTATTTACCAATGTTACATTACGATATCCAGCCAAGGCCTCTGATTAATTAATCCACATTCTGGCCCTCTGCCAGAACCTACTCTCATTATCACCACTATAACAAGCACTGCAACAAACACAACATACTCCGCTACCTATACTACAGTGATACTGTAGGATCTGGTGGAGGTTTTGAGGAGGAATAAGCTTTTACCACGCAGCTTGGCTACAGTGGCGTTGCAAAAGTATGAAACCCCATGTTGTTCTTGTCTCCGCCGTCTAATCGCGGACTAGTAGCTACCTAAGATGGAATAGATTGGCCTATCTATTCCATCTCAGGTAGCTACGGGTTTCCCATTAGAAGGCGGTAAATCATGGTGAGCAATATGGGGTTTCAAACTTTTGCAACACCACTGTATACGTGACCAGACCTCGACTACGCATTTCATTCTATAGCTGGGAATCAATGTTTATCTATGCTTATGTAGCAGGATCGTTTCTGCCATGGTAGAGGAGAAGGAACGCTTCAAGATAATTTATAAAGCCCCAACAGTCCGGGCAGACTAGACCTTATCACCGCGACTGCGGGCCTATTGTCGAATCCAATGTGGGACACGTCCCGCCAGGAAAGTCCCGCTCGGCGAGCAATCCATGCGGTGGATCCAAGATGAGGGGATAAGACGAGGTGAATAATCGGTATTATTATATTGGACCACAAATTGTGGGGAGGTGATAGGATAGCGCTGTTTTTCACTGTCTGGATTTCAGTCTCCTAATCTCACCACTCACAAACAACGAGATCCTATCAGCATGGCAAGGCAGAAGAATCGTTCCAAGACAGGTAGACTGACATCTTTATCTGCAGGAGTAACGAACCCTGACCTATCGCAGGTTGTACTAGCTGTCTTCGTCGGAAGATCAAATGCGATGAGCAACGCCCCACGTGTCGGCAATGTGTGAAAGCCGAAATCAAGTGCTTGTGGGATATGAGCTCCAGAAAACACGTTCAGAGAGCACGAACGCGATGTAAAGCTACTAAATTCCCTAGTGGTGAGGGTAGAGCTGCAAGTCATACACACGACACAACTTTCACTGGACCTTTTCAACTGCTGAGTTGTGACTACAACTTACCCGAGGTTTCCTCTGAAGAGGAAAACAACACAGCTTTGTCACCCACGGCAGGTCATGGTATTCTAAGACCCTGCAGATGCCGTTCAAAACAGAAATATTGAATACTACTGTTTGAACCGTGACTCAACATTGGGAATACCGAGTCCTTTTCTATCCCATGTCTACCCTTTCTCCTTGCCATGCGCCAATTCAACTCTCCTATCACATCGAGATAGGCTATACCTAGCGTATTTTCCCACATCTTCGCTGGTAAAAGTTCTAGGAAGGCATACACCTGGAGCAATTTCAGGTACATATGCCAGAATAAAGCGTCAGAGGAGGCCGTTGTCATGTACGCGGTCATGGCGTTATCCGCCAGCGAAATTAACCAACGATTTCCGCAATCCAATTCTCACGATGAGGGCCAGCTGTACCACAGCCTAGCCTTACAAGGCATTACGGATGCCGTCAGCAGTTTGACATGTGAATCCAACAATGTGGAAGCAATCCTCAGTGCATTATTTCTGGTCCTAATTTATGAATGGAGGTTCGGATCATCTACGCCACACTTGCAGTCCCATAGTCAATGCCTTCTTATGTGTCTGAACGCTTTCTTTCAAGTCGCCGAAGGTCAATCGAATGCATCCATTAATCTAACGGAACGTCCCTCTTTTACACCTTTCTGCGCCCAGATTTTGTTATGGATTCTGTGAGAGAACAAAATCATAGCCTTTTGATTGACCAGAAACTAACAGGCTCTCCAGATATATTGATTCAAGTTGCATCCATGGAAACATCTCTTTTGAACTCATGGAGTTTTTCCATACGCACGGAGGAGAATCACAGCTGCAGAGTATGTTTAGATTTGCTCGTCATTCCTACCTATACATACATGGAGAGCAATATCCAGCCGAGCAGCATCAAGATGATTTGGAGAATTACTGCCCATTGGAGCTCATTCACCAAGATTATCTTTTCGATATCGGATTTGGCGAGTTTCTCAACGATACAATCGAGGAGAGTCCGTTCAGTCTGAGTTGGAGATTCTGTGGAGAGAAATTAACATCATCCGAAAGGTATCATACGTCTGTTTATCATGATGCTAACTGTTGTAAATTGAAGTTTCTAACTTTATTATTTTACTATTCAGGCGTTCCGTCACTTATTTGAGCTGCGAAAGACTCCATCCAATAAATTTTGTCAACGCCGGGCTTTTATAAGTCTCTGTGAAGGCTTGGCGGGGTATTATTGTAACATTCTTCTCATTCATCGTTTGTTTCACTATAGAGTTGTCCCTATGGAGAGATATGATGAGGCTCTATCGGAGCTACTCGACATCTGCTACACTATCCACGAGTGGTACCCTACTGACCCGACTTTGGGATTTGCCTGGTATCTACTCATAGCAGGCCTAAGAGGGAAAAGACCGAATCCACCGACATTGGGCATACGATCGATTGGAGGATCTGGGTGAAAGTTGGAATACATGTAAGTGGGCAGGGAAAATGCTTCGCTTGGTGCATCATCCGAAACCCAATGCTGGGTGGCCGGATCATAACGATACTTTCTTGAGATTTATTCAACCTGTATTATGAATAGAAAATATTTACTCGGACCTGGCAATTTTCCAGTCTGTCACAGCAGCCTCATACTTGCTATCGTCAGACAATAGTTCCCACGCACATAGAGCAAGGCACTTTCCGACCGTAAGACAAATTTGAAAAGCCACATCACTTCCTGCAGCTTCGGTGAAAGACCAGTGGTGAGTGACTACCCCCTTTTTCCTTGACTGGAATACAAAACATTGCATGTATTGCAGGAAGTGCGTAGCTCACATCGCCTAATTTACATCAGTCAATACCGGTGATAATACAAGAGCAATAACAGAATTTAGAAGAAAATTTTTATCAAGACTTACCAAAGTCCGACGAAGCCTGGATGTATTCAGGGTCTACTTTCAGGATATTCTGGGAATAACCGGTCATGTGGCTTTGATACAGTCCACACAATGTGTCATTGATAAGAAGGTCCGAGTAGGCCGTTTCGCTGGATCTCGGTTAGACTAGGTCAAATAATTGGTAAGCAGCCCACTCACTCTTTCAGATTCAATTCACATCCAGTTGCTAGAGCTCCAGCATGCAAGCATGCGCAGAGCCGTTCCGTTAAGGATTGCAAGTCATTCATTTTGGGGGAACGACACTGCCAGGCAATAGAAGTTTGACCTGCTATGATGTTGGTTCTTTTGGGGGCATCGATAATAGCGCAATGAAGCCGTTGTGTGGGATTCATCTGCTGTCGTAGTAGAGAAACATTGTTGTATCCGGCCACAACAGCGTCTAGTGCATTGATGCCATCCCATGGATTAGCGGCCGAGTGAGCAGTTCTCCCTCTGTACTCAGCGAGCTTTGACTGTTTTGCAACAAGACGAGCACCAGCTGCTCCAACAACACCATGTGTGTCATGATAGTAATGGCTCGGCATTGGATGACTATCACATTTTAGCATCCGATATCACAAAACAAGCCATGATACTGTTTGGAAACGGATGGATACTCACGACATTAAGGCTGCATCCGCTCCTTCAAAAGCTCCCGCTTTGAGCAAATCGAGCTTGCCACCACCATGCTCCTCAGCAGGTGTACCCAGAATCCGAATTCTTCCAGGTTGGCCGGTCACCTTGAGAACAGAGGCCAGAGCCAGAAAGGCCGTCAAGCTTGCGACACCGATAAGATTATGTCCACATGCATGACCAATGTCAGGCAAAGCATCATACTCCGCACAGAAGATCATCAAGCGACCACCAGATCCAAAGCTGGCTTCGAAAGACGTGTCAAGTCCATGGGCATGGCGAGTTACTTCGAATCCGTTCTCCTCAAGAACTGCACACATTGTATCGTGTGCGATATGTTCTTCGTAAGCCAGCTCAGGGTTTTCCCAAATCTGAAAGAGTTAATTTTACTTTCAAAATTCTTTGGATGAATAGTCACCTTTCTGTTTACCTCCTCAAGTCTCCTGGATGACTTCTCGACAAAGACATCAATGCCTGCCTTGATTTCCTCGGTAGCTGTCATTTCTCTTGTTGGTTGCAAACAAATTTGAAGAAAACAAACCAGGTGGCTCACTGGATTATAAAAATCTTTCCCTGGAAGCCTTTGATCAACACATTAAATACTCATTCTGTTCTCCAATACGTTTGCTTGTTGTTATCAGTCTATCCCCAAATATGGACCATTTCAATCTTGCTCAATGCCGATTGGATGACTGCGGGGATTCTCGACCCAATCAAATACAATTTAAAATTCTGGATCCCACCATGCCAGCCAATCGGCAGAGCTGAAATTCCAGCCAATCCTCTCAAACTTCATTTGCCTGCTCCAAATCATATCACCCAATCGGCAACACAGAAATTTAGCAGAGCAACTGATAGCCAGGTAGGAGTTGGTCCCCCGCATTTCACAGTCAATGCTCAATGCCCTGTGCACTTACGTAGCTTTCCTTGTGATTGTGGGAATCAGTGCGGAGAAAGTTCAAAAAAGATATAAAGCCACTGGTGTATACGACGAGATACAAATATGGAACCGCTATATTATCTACCAATGAACCTATTTTCAACTTAACACATTTGGCATACATACGAACTTGAACATCACTTGAAGATGGCAGAGACAGAGAAATCAGACCTAAATCGCCAATGTTCGGATATCCAAGTCGCTGAACTGGTGGAACTTCAAACAACAGCCGAGGAAAATGCGAAACTCCTGCGAAAGATTGATCTTACCCTTATGCCAGTCATGTGCGCCTGCTATATGTTACAACTTTTGGACAAGTTAACGCTCAATTTCTCCTCGCAACTCGGTCTGACGCAGGACCTGAACCTCCACGGATCGCAGTACAGCTGGACCTCCTCCATCTTCTACTTCGGATACCTTGTGTGGACGTGGCCGAGTTCCTGGCTCGTAGTCAGACTACCCTTAGGTAAATACCTTACTGGAACAGTCTTGGTATGGGGAGGTATTCTTATGTGCCACGGGGCCTGTAACAACTTCGGGGGATTCATGGCAGTTCGATTTTTACTCGGTGCCGCTGAAGCTGCCGTAGCACCCGGATTTGCTCTCATCGTGAGCATGTTCTACAGGCGCGATGAACAACCACTACGTCAAGGTATTTGGTTTGCGGGCAATTGTATTGCTAATATAATTGGAGGTCTGATCAGCTATGGCATCGGGAATATTGATTCTTCTCTGGCTACGTGGAGAGTACTTTTTCTTATCCTTGGAGGTGTTACTGTTGCTTTTTCGGCTGTACTCTGGGCATTCCTCCCGGATTCACCCATAAAAGCACGGTTCCTGAATGAAAGAGAGAGGAAATTGTCGGTTCTCCGGACGCTGCAAGAAACGTTCAGTGCGATGGATGAGAATGACTTCCAGACGTATCAGGTCTGGGAAGCTTTGAGAGACCCACAAGCTTGGTTGTTGGCCTTGTATACATTCTCTGTCAGTATATGCAATGGCGGAATTACTACAGTGAGTTCTAGTCCCTTAATCGGTAACGAACTTTTTATTAACCAAAATAAAGTTCAATAGCCTTCTTATTGATGGTTTTGGTTTTGGCTCACTCCAAACCTTACTTCTACAAATTCCTATGGGGGGCTGCCAACTGGCTTTTCTAGCAATCGTATCGATAACGGCCTCCGTGACTAAAACCTCACGCTTATTTTTGATGGCCTGTGGCTGCCTTTTATCCTTGGTCGGAATGCTCTTAATTTACAAGTTGAATCATGCAGATGCCTATGGTCGACTGGGTGGAACATACCTAGCTGCAGTATTCGCTTCAAATACCCCTATGTCACTGAGCCTCATTGCGTCCAATGTTGGAGGCTTCACAAAAAGGTCCACCGTTAATGCTATGCTATTTGTTGCTTATAGCACGGGTAATATCGTTGGACCTCAACTATATTTGAGCTTAGAGGCTCCCGTCTACACTGTAAGAATGATATCTTCTCCTCCACCAAAGTTCCCTGCTGAAACAAAAGTTCAAGACTGGGGTACGCTCTACTATTGCAGGATTTTGTCTGGGGATTTTCTTTCTAGGCGTCTTGTTTGCTTACTATGTTTTGGAAAATCGGAGACGGGCCAAGCATTGTAACACTGAATCCGGAGTAGGGATTGAAGAAGAGAGACTGGAGACTTTCATGAGCAGGACTGACAAGGGAAGCCCGAGGTTTCGTTATGTATTGTGAGAAGCGATAGGCAAAAGCGATAGGCCTTCGTTAGTCATCCTAATTCACGAAGCTTTGAACATGGAAGGAGCCTTCAAGTTGGAGTTACTTGATCAACATCGAACTAGACATCAACCTTGGAAAACATAAGATGCAGCTACACTCCTGGGCTCCCTTCGCATAGAGTCATGATACTATAAGAAATGCTTCTGGCGTGCAAAGGACGTCATGATTTCTTACTAGCAGATCCTTTGCAGAAATCAGTAACCTCCGACACCAAATTCGGCGATTTGCTCGGTGATGAGGGTAAACGCTCCCATACTTTCCAAATCCGCCGGGTTAGTACAAGGGGACGTGCCCTTCCAGACTTCGAGTGCTGTAAGTAATCCCCGTTCTACTCGGGGGCCCGGCTTTTCTCTTTTTTCCCTTTTTGCTTTTACTCCCCTATTTCTCTGATTTTGATATATTTTTTATAGAGAACTCTAGTTGAATTTCTTGTTTATAATTATTTATCAAGGAAAGAAACCCGCCTACACACCCCGGAGGCTGGAATATGGTGATTTCCTTTTTGGGAACGGACTGGTGCTATCACTAGAACTGCAAGCATACATATGAGTATTCCCGGGATTATCTGAAATAAATTGACGACCATTATTAGCGCATTGTATTTATTTCTTACCCTTAGGCTATTAATTCGATGTCATTCTCTAAACATGCCTACTATCACACATCACATGGTTGGCGGACCCACCCGTATGTAAACAACCTAAACAACCTAAACAACGTCAACAACGTAAACAAAAAGCGTTTGTTACAGGAAAAAGAAAAGAACAAGGCAGCTGGTCACTGGCAGACAGAATTGAACTGTGAGCCTGGAGATTCCGCAAAAAGGGCAAAAAGATAAGCCCGCAATTCAGCTTCTCCTATCCCGCATATGGACTTTCCTAGAGGAACCAATTGTTCCCCTAGACCATAAGGGTCTACGTGCCAAGACAGAGACTTCTAACAAATAAAACCATGCCAGCACTCTCCTTTTGCGACTGATCCGCGATTCCCAGAGCGGTGCTACCTTATCCGGGCCCCTTGAAAGTCACGGACCAAGTCATCATCATCTACAGCCAACCTTGAAATGAAAGGCCCAGGTTGATTTTCATCCTTCATTTGAGATAAATCCAAGTAGGTTACGTGCCATTGTGGGCAGGCCCATTCGGGCTGGAATATCTAGCGATTGAAACGCAATAACCCGGCGTCGAAGGCTGGTTACGGCTAGAGGGGAGTTGACCTGAGTTTTATTGCATATGAATTCATTTCAAAGATAAATGCGAAGGCTAGAGAAATTGATGGCATGGATGAAATGAGGTTCGGAAATCTTTCTTCTCTTGGTGAAATGGGAAGACAGAGAGAAGTGACGAGCCAGAGTGTGAGAGAAAGAGGGGAAACCTTGGAGGGGAATGGTATCATCACCTTGCCTGACCTAGAAGATCAGAACCCAGCTTACAAACCCACGAGTGCAGGGGATCATCCCCCGCATCTTGATCACCCTCATCTTTAGGCAAGTTAGCCGCCGGTCCAGATTCTGGAGATCGATCGCAACGGAACGAACCGTAGATCAAGAAGATGCCAAAACATAAAGTTTCTGGATAAGGAGATCAACAGCGATAGCCACAAGGATCGGAGGCCACCGAGGGGATCGTAGCGTGCCTATAGACACCATATAGGGGGAATTAGTGCCGATATGCATCATGACGAGAGTCAAAAGCAAACCGCAGCTAAGATGGCCATGCATATCAACGTCAGTTGTGGGCCCCGGGGAAGAGTACCTGGAGAGAGCCAAAGGGGAAACGATAGGAGGAGTCGGACTCGCTGCACCGCTGATAAGAGCCAATAGCTGGGCTATGATTTGCAGCGAGGACGACACATGGAACCGGGGATGATACCGGAAAGGGGCCAAACAGTGGTGCAGATCCGGGGCTGACTCCCGATTACACGAATAGATTATGATAACCCTATGGTCATCTCATCTCCGCTATCACGAACCGAAAATACTACTCGTAGCCCGGCGCCTGTATCTGTATCTGCATCTGCTTCTGCATCTGCATCTGCACCCTGGTCCCTGCGCTCTGCTTCCTGACGCGAATCCGGGACATTCCAATGCCGCTGGCGATCGGTCGGCTTGGAGCGAGAAAGTGCATGAGACACCCTCGTAGCCGGCTCAACCTACTAGATTGAGGGTTCTCCGCACCGTATCCCGTCTGCAATTGGGATTAAACAGACCCTGTGATGACAGACCTCGGGAGGCATGGATGGTGTTGCCACACTAAATTTAAGTTGGGCGATGCAGGGACCCCCGTGCGGGGAGAGCATGTGTTGGATGAGACCCCAGGGAGTCAAGTCGAGTCAAGCTTTCGTGGGGTTCAGATGCGAACGCAGTTCGGCGGTTCCCGTGAGATGTGTACTGCATGGGTACATACTTTGTACCTGGGAAGACTGGTAAGACCATGTGGTTGGAAGCAAAGCTTAGCCTGCAAGACATGGTTATCAGCAGCCATCATGTCAGTGGAAGGGTGTACTTCGTACTCGGTACACTGTACAACTTGGACAATTTACACTGGGCGTATCTCACACGGGTCTTATCGGCGGTCCGACCATCGCATGAGGAAAGCATTCAAGCATTCAGCCAGTGGAAATTCCTCGATGGAGTCCACTTTAGTCGGAAGCGACCTCGCGTTTCGCGTTGGGCCCCAGCAGTTCCACCCTGCGATAAGACTGTGTGCCACTTATGACTGGTTGAAGGTCAGCCCAAGTGGATACCGAGAGCTTGTCATTTGCTTGTGTTCTGGAAAAATTCCCACGAGGGGGGTCCCACAGGTCCCTATCTCGGAACGTTTGCCACGCAAAGTCTGCCAGTGCCATTCGCCAGTGGGGCGAACTCGGACGCGCCCACAGGAATTTTGTGGTTCATTGACCATTCGGTGGTACTATATTAGATCCTCCCCTTGCCGTGGAACACAGAAAAAGAAAAAAAAATGTTCGATATGTGAAGCTGTCTCTCCTCTTCCTTCCAATCCTCCTCCAATTCTCCCTCTTTGGGCTGAGCCTGAGTCCGAGCCCGAGTCCTAGCTCTTAAGCTCTTAAGCTCCTCGCGTGCACTCATTCTTCTTTCGGTCGACTTCGATTTTGACGTGTAACGTTTGACCTCGACTTCGACTTCGACTTCGACTACCACCAACACGATGCGGTCCAAATTCGGTTTTGGGTCTCGTGACGTCGAGAAGGCGCCCCAAGTCGACAACTCCTACGAAACTCACAGCAATGAGACCAGTGACAACGTCAACGTCAACGACCACTACCAGGACAATGTTAGCGATGGCGCAGTCCCCGGCGAGAGCTTCGAGTATGGTAACTCGATGTACGCCAAGCTCCAGCGCATTGCTGGAAAGCTCAATGTCGAGCAACGTGGTATTGAGCGTGTGCCTGACAACGAGCGCACAGATACCTCATATTTCAACGTTGGCAGTATGGTATGTCGAGAGTCGTTTGCCTCACTTGCCACACAACCTGGGGAAGAACGCACCCACTGACTCCAATTCCTCTCTTCTATAGTGGCTAGCGGCAGACATGGTCTCTAGTTCCTTCGCCATTGGTGTCCTCGGAAAATCCCTCTTCCAATTGGGAACGATCGATGCCTTCCTGGTCTGCCTGTTCTTCAATTTGCTGGGTGTCTTGACCGTCTGCTTCTTCTCGTGCTTCGGTCCTCCCTTTGGTCTGCGACAGATGGTTTTGTCGCGTTTCTGGTTCGGCTGGTACCCTGTGAAAATCAGTGAGTAGCCCCAAGACTATCCTTTGCGCGCGCGCGAGAGAGAGAGAACGCCAATTCTAATCCACCGCTTCCTAGTTGCCATCCTCAACGTCATTGCCTGTATCGGCTGGTCCGCCGCCAACGCCATTGTTGGTGCCCAGCTTCTCAACGCTGTCAATAGCTCCGTCCCCGGTTTCGCTGGTATCCTCATCATCACCTTTTGCACCCTTTTCGTTACTTTCGCCGGATACAAGGTCGTCCATGTCTACGAGAAATGGAGCTGGATTCCTACTTTTATCGTCTTCATGATTGTCCTGGGTGTCTTTGCCCACTCGGGTGATTTCCAGAACATCCCCATGCAGACTGGTACCTCGGAAATGGGAGCTTGTCTTTCCTTCGGTTCTACTGTCTACGGCTTCGCCACCGGTTGGACAAGCTACGCCGCCGACTATACCGTCTACCAACCGGCCGATCGCAGCCGCAAGAAGGTCTTCTTCGCAACCTGGCTGGGTCTGATTGTTCCTCTCCTCCTGACCGAATTCCTCGGTATTGCTGTCTACTCTGCCACTGCCATTAATGGCGGAGACAACAAGTACACAGACGGCTACGCCACCTCTGGCAACGGCGGTCTCATCGGAGCTGTTCTTGACCCGCTCGGCGGATTCGGCAAGTTCTGTCTGGTCATCCTGGCCCTGTCCATCATCGCCAACAACTGCCCCAACATCTACTCTGTCTCCCTGACCCTGCAAGTCCTGCACCGCTACACCCAGCGCGTGCCCCGCTTCGTCTGGACCTTCTTGGCCTCGTGCGTTTCCCTCGCCATTGCCATCCCCGGCTACTCACACTTCGAGACCGTTCTGGAGAACTTTATGAACCTTATCGCCTACTGGCTGGCTATTTACTCCGGCATCACCATTTCGGACCATTTTATCTTCAAGCGTGGCTTCGGTGGCTACCATGCAGAGAACTACGACAAGCCCGATAAGCTGCCCCATGGAATTGCTGCCAGTATTGCGTTCTGCTTTGGCATTGCTGGTGTGGTCACTGGTATGAGTCAGTCCTGGTGGATCGGTCCTATTGCCAAGCATGCTGGTGCGTCTCCTTCTTATGGTGATGTTGGCTTTGAGTTAGGCTTTGCCTTCTCTTTCGTGGTCTATTGTGCTTTGCGACCGCTGGAGTTACATTACTTCGGTCGCTGATTTGTATTTGTTCCATTTGGTGTATATAGCGATTTGTACTGGATCATTGTACTAGTTTTATTTAGTTCGGCGTGCATAAGCATTGCCTCAATCGATTGCATAAGCATTACTCTTTGAATGTCGTTCCCTGTTATTCACTATCTTAGTTGTGGCCTAGTGAAGTCCGAGAGTTCAGTCATTCGGGGCGCAGTCATATTTCCGATGCCTAACGGTACCTTTGTCCGACCCTGAGAATACAGTTGCTCCCCCTGTAGTTGTCAACTTACAAGTGAATCTACCGCATCGGGAGCAATGATTTGTGCCTGAACTCAAAGATTCGTTGCTTTTCAATATTTGGAGGCTATGATGATTGATAAGTGCATACTTCAAGTTTCCCTGTCAGTGGGCCATGGGGCTAGTACTACTTTATTCAGGCCCTGTTTTCCTGTTCACCACCGACATGGTACCTTGGGTGTAAAGCCTCCAATGGAGCATCAACAGCGTAGTTCATAGCCAAGCGCAGATCACCCAGAAAGAAGCAGCAAATACAGGCGAGCAGCCCGAACGGAGCTGCAATGATATATACCACTCTTAAACTATCCGCAAAAGCCTGCTTAGCGGCGTTTGTCCCCGCTGAGAGAATTCCAATGTCAACACCCGCGACGCTGCTAAGTGCTGATTCATCTCCAGCTGCAATGGCTTTGACGAAATCCCCGACAGACGTAGATGGCAACCCTGCATCAAGAACAGCCTGAGAAACATAATCAGGAATAAACTTTTGAGCCCGAGCATTAAATGCAGCGGAAAAAATAGCAGTGAAAACGGTGGCAGCTATTGCTCGAGAGCAGGTCGTGGCGGCGGTTGCGGTTGCGATCAGATGATGCGGTGTTGATAACTGCACAGCGGCAATCAGAAGTATAAGAGGAGAGCCAAATCCAAGCCCCGCGAGGCCTGAAAAGGCCAATACACTTATTTCGTCCTTGGGTTGAATTGTAGCAAGCCCGACAACGCCCGCTGTGAGGAGTAGAAACCCGATGAACAGTGGAGCTCGAATCGACCGGAACCTAGTGCTCACGTATCCATATATGACTGTGCCGATTCCACCTGCGATCCAGAAGGGCTGTTCCCGGGCCGCTAGCAAAAATGCGTCTTTGGTGAATAATTCTGTGGTTCTATGAGGCTGGCAATTAGTATCTCGCACGGACTTGAGGGACATGGGAGGTGCCACTTACAGGGCTGGGTAGAAGATTGTGTATGAAAAAAGCAAGATTCCTTCAATAAAGATGAGTCCGACGGATAGAGCGAATGTGCGTCCTCCAGTTTTGCCTCCACGGAACAATTCATGGTGGAGAATTCCCGTCGTCGTAGCCTTCCACTCGTAAATTCCAAATGAGAAAAGGCATAGAATACCGATGATAATAGTGGATAGCACAGGAGCTGAAGCCCATGCATATAACCCACCTCCAAGATTCAAGCCAGTCAAAAGCAGAGTTATACCAGCGGTGAGAAGCATAAATCCCGGCAAGTCAAGACGTGCGATCTTCTGTGTCAATGATAAATGATCGAAGTCCGTATGGCGCTTGGGAGGCTTATAGCCAAAGAATAAGCATATTGCAGTTAGCCCCCAAAGTCCCATTTGAAGCCACTAGTTGAAATTAGCGAATGCTCTCTCTTCTACGTTGTTTGTCTTACATAAAAGTTCCGCCATCCAGTATGGGAATTTGCTTTAGTAAAGGCACCGATGATTAGCGGCGCCGAGCATGCGCCTAAAGCTGCAGCGACGTTCATTCCCGCTTGGGCCACTAGAATAATTTAGCATTTCTTTCAATCAAAACCTTTGACCAAGATAAGTAAGAGTAAGTCCTTACTAGGCCGCCATTTTCGAGGAAGAATCTCGCTTGGGACACAGTATGCCAGAGGCACAGTAGCGAAGCCAAACCCAATCAAAATCTGAGCACCAATAAGTCGATATATGCTAGCAGAACCTGGGGCAATCGCAGCTCCCACGAATGCTATAACTGCAGGTCCAACTAAAAGTTCCTTGCGTGCTTGAAATGTATCCGAGGCGGAGGATATAAGAGGGGCCAAGACGGCTTGGACTAGCGAAAGAGAGTTCGGAACCCAAGTACCGGCTGCCGTATTCTTCAAATCGGCTTCAATAAACGAAAGCTATTGTGAGGTTATGCTTGTTAGTTGGGTTTTTGTCGAGTCGAACTTCGAGCTGAATACGAGCGCTCACCGCTGCTGGAGGGCCCATCAGGCCAAAAACTTGCACAAGGTTTAGTAGGAACATAGCTGCAAGCGCGACGTATGTCGACATATGCAACTTGGGCTCTTCATCATCCACGTAAACCAAGTTTTCCGATTGTTTAGTTGTCGGATCTGGTGCATTTGCTGCATATTCAACCTCTAACACTGGCGAGCAACCCCCAGGGTCTTTCTCTGTCAAAGACATTGGCAGAGCATAAAGGATTTCCATTTATATCGAATATTAAAAGCCTAGAAATTCAAGATTTGGGAGAATTCTGTCCACAGTGGGCATCTAATTTCCTTTTATTTCTTGTTCTCAATAGGAGAGCCTTCAGACTGCAGCATTGGCGCGGCTGGGTATAGATCGGTTGTTCCAATAGTTCCCCGCAACCTGGATAGGCCCACTTCCCCCGCAACCCCAGATTATCCCCGTTTCTTGAAACTTTACTGGTGTATTATTCCCTTTTCGAATATTCAGAATTGACTTTCTGGGGTATTTGCCCCAGTTGGTGGTTCCACTACTCCACTAGAGCTTTACTAGATGGGTTTGTAAGAATAACATAGCTTACAAACCCGAGAGGGAGATCCCGTGTGTCGTCAATCGATGCAATAATTTACTAGCACCGTACAGTTTTTCCCATGATATTTCAGAGCAATAATACTCACAATAAATTACTCGACACAATGTGGCAGCATACTGGAGTATTTTAATTTTAGCTGACAGGTCAAGTATCGGCATAAGATGGAATCTGCAAGCAAGGCCAGTTTTTGTTAATCAAGCTTTCAACCAAGAGAAATTTCTTGTCAAAACTTCCGAAACAAGGCGGCCATCATCGGTACCAAATAAATCTTGCTTCACCTGGTATCCCTTCTGACCTAAGCAATATGCCAACAATTTATAGCTCTGTCTTGGAAAATCCCCCGCACCTTTAAAGTCCAGCCCCTCGTGACCCGAGAATGGCAGAATGGGAGAAATTTTGTCATTTATGTAGATGACTTCCATACTCAACATTTTCCACAGCTGGCAAGATTCTCCTTTGAGCATTTCCAGTCTAGAAAGGAACCGACAATTGGCAACAAGCTCATACTCGACCCCGTCACGAGTGAAGCAGCTGGTGATATTTCCGACCGATATGGAGAATGCTTTCGAGTTTTTGATTGTTACTTCGGCGGGCGTTATGTTGTGAATAGCATTGCATCCCTTTTCCGACATACTAGATTTGGAGCCCTGAAAAAAGCCGTCGATATCGCCTTGATACCTATTTATACATGAATAAGAGCGCAAGGCTAAATGAGGTTATAATTCCTACCAAGTGATATCTATGTTTGTTTGAGAGGCATCGGGATGGTAGCATTCTCTCAGCTTTTCCCATTGGCACGAGTCCCGATAGTATCTCTCGCGCACAACAAGTGACTTGATACGAGCCTCGGCTAGGATTTCTCGATCGTTCATGATTTTGATAATAGAAATAGTTTGATTCGATTGCAAAGTTCAAACTGGAGAGGTATGTCGATGAATTCGAACAAGGTTTATTGAAGAGCATTTTTAAATTGTGAGCAATCCCTAGTAGTGTCTTACCATCAATAATGTGGGATCTATACGAAAGTCTATATAAGCACCACTTTTTAAGATTGAATGTCATCGAGATATCGGGCCTGGTGACTGGGCAAAAGCTCCTTCGGGTATAAATTACCGGCCGATAGGTTAGAAATTTACCAGTGACCACTCGTACTATCTTTGCGGGCATGATGAATGGATTACCGGATTAGGTGTCCATGTCTAAATCTAGTTAAGAGGGGTGACATCCGAAGCGGTGAACAGTGCGAGTTTTACCCAGGGGAGGCCGAATTAGGCGCCCCTGTCTGCCTCCGCAGCTGGCTTAAACCGAAGCATTCGCTCTCAAGGGAACTTCTCTTTTCCAACAGGAGCTAACCGAGAAGATATTGCAAGAATTCCGTTCTTGCTCGGCTCTGATTAAACTGCTCAATAATTTGGTGTTGTTGAATTCGAGCTTGCCAGACCCATAGCTAGTTAACTGGTTTTTACGGTTCGCGCCGTTCTCGGGTATCTGAGTTTCCTCCACCGGGGAGTCGTCGGCAGCGCATCCGAGCGAGAATCAATCTCCAGATCGGGGTTTCCCACGTTGTGAGTCGCTCAGATAATCACTATTCCGTTCAAGAGCCGTTCCAGGCTAATTCAATGCCCAGGACTGAATCGTGGCTGATTAGTCTTTTCGTATTCCGGTTTAAGGGGTGGTCTTCAAGGGGTGATCTTCAAGGGGTGGTCTTCTCTTCCTGTCTGCCCGGCTCTGTCGAGATGCAAGAACAGCGTGAATCAATCATGGAGGAATATGATGTCATAATCATTGGAGCTGGAATTTCTGGAATAAATGCAGCTTACAGGGTACAAACTGAATTGCCCTCTTCTCGCTATGTGGTACTCGACGCACGAGAAGAGATTGGAGGAACATGGAGTTTCTTCAACTACCCCGGTTTAAGATCTGACTCTGATCTTTATACTTTCGGTTTTCCTTGGAAACCTTGGAAAGCAGGCAAGCTGATTGCAACAGCTCCATTGATCATGGAATATCTCCAAGAGGCCGTTTCTGAAACGGGAATCGATCAGCACATTCGATTTAAGCATCAAATTGCAGCTGCGGATTGGTCGACCAAGGAGCAAAAATGGAGACTATCCGCAACCAACTCCAAAGGGGATACAGTCTACCTACAATCCAAGTTCATCATCATGGGTACTGGATATTACGACTACGATAAAGTACTGCCAGCGCCGATCCCGGAAATCGAGAACTTTGCTGGCTCTGTCATTCACCCTCAATTTTGGCCCAAAGATTTCGATTACTCGCAGAAGAATATCATCATTATCGGGAGTGGGGCAACTGCAATTACCCTCCTACCAACCCTGGCAAAGAAAGCTGCTCATGTTACAATGCTGCAACGCAGCCCAAGTTACATCTTGAAAGTCGAAAATACACCATCAAAGCTCGGCTTCCTACCCCAGTCTCTCGCGATCCAGCTCACTCGACTCTTCTTGATCTGTGTTCCCGCCATTTTCTACTATTTCTGTCGATTCTTTCCGGATCGCTCAAGAAATATGCTGCAAAATGCTGTTAGGAAGCAGCTGCCGAAAACCGTTCCCATCGACCCACATTTCACCCCAAGGTATAAACCGTGGGACCAACGTATATGCTTCACACCTGATGGCGACTTCTTCGAGCCCATCCGAGATGGCAAGGCCGATGTGGCCACCGGGACCATCCGTCAAGTGGTTGAGGATGGTATCATTCTCGACTCTGGTGAAAAACTGAAGGCCGATGTTATTGTGACTGCAACGGGCCTCAAGATGAAAGCTTTGGGAGGTGTACGGATTAGTGTGGACAGTGAGAAGATTGAAGTTGGTGATAAATATGCCTGGAATAACGCAATGGTCCAAGACGTTCCCAATTTGGTTTTTGTCGTGGGATATGTCAATGCGTCTTGGACCCTGGGGGCTGATACCACCGCCCGGCTGTTTTGTCGTCTGTTCAAATACATGCAGGCTCAAGGTCACAGAAGCGCAGTTGCAGGAGGCGTTGATGCCAAGACAATAGGTTATCGTCCACTTCTAGCACTGACCTCGACATACGTTGTACAGGGAGGGAGTGAGCTGCCTAAGTGTGGAAACTCGGGCCCTTGGCTCCCGCGTGTGCACTATCTTGTGGATCTCTACAAAGCTGTGATGGGTGACATCACCAATGGTCTGATCTTTGCCTGATTTACTTCAAGTTGGTTTTGTTAATATTTTTGTCAGCACATATAGTCATGTTAGTTCGTATATAGCGATTAATACTAAAACATGCACCCACTTCAAGTCTAACGCAGCCACTAAGAAGGTCCAAGGATTTCAGGACCATAGATTCTAGAAAGTCATAAGAGTAAACACAGATCGGATCTTCCATTTTAGCTCTTTGACTCATCGACCGAGTAGAAGATGCGTCTTTCCGCAGCTGACAACACCATTTTACCCAGTCCTATAGAATGAGTCACTTCAGGTCAAAGTAGCAGGTCGGTCCCTATAAATACTACTAACTAATCAACTAGTACATGGTATTGTGAGTCAAGATACTTTACTTGACTGGGCGAACTGGGGCACTGGAGAGTCACGTGGCTGATTTGCACCAGCCACGGGACTGCGCCACAGCAAAATCGCCGCGCCGCGAATTAAATCCACAACGGAGATTCACCTTTGAAGAAATCACAGAAATTCAGCTATTACCGCAACACCATATCACAACACACATCATGTCTCGATCTGGGAAGTGAGTGCACATTTTCCGCCCAAAATTCAAATCTCGACTAACCAGATCTTTTCATTTTTTAACAGCCGCGCCGACTGGGCGGACGACGAAGAATTTGACGACCCCTCCGCTCTCCCCGCGCAACAAGTTATTAGCAACAAAGATGGCACCAAGACCGTGATCTCATACCGCTTCAATGACGATAACAAGAAGGTGAAGGTCACCCGCCGCATCAAGACCACTGTCGTTCGTGAGAATGTCAATCCCCAGGTTGCTGAGCGCCGCCAGTGGCCTAAGTTCGGCAACGAGAAGGGCCACCCCGTCGGTCCCTCTTTCGATACCACCTCCGTCGGCGAGAACATCGTTTTCCGTCCCAGCACCAACTGGAAGGCACAGGCCAAGGAGGCCGAGAAGGAGGGTGGCGAGAAGGGCAGCATTCAGGATCAACTCAAGGACAAGAAGGTCAAGTGCCGTATCTGTTCCGGAGAGCATTTCACCGCGCGCTGTCCCTTCAAGGACACCATGGCTCCCGTGGAGGAGTCCACTGCTGGTGGTGCGGGAGATACAGGCGAGGCCGAGGCCGGTGGACTGGGTGCTGGCAAGTCCAGCTATGTTCCCCCTCACATGCGCAATGGTGGTTCTGGTGGCGGCGACAAGATGGGTGGCCGCTTCGAGAAGGACGATCTGGCCACTCTCAGAGTTACAAACGTATGTGTTTTCATCCCACGTCTAGTTATCTCTTTATTTCGGAGACTCCTACTGACACCTATTTCTTTGTTCGCCTACAGGTCAGCGAGTTGGCAGAGGAACAAGAGTTGCGGGATCTTTTCGAGCGGTTCGGACGTGTCACCAGAGTTTTCCTTGCCCGGGACCGCGAGACACAGCGGGCCAAGGGCTTTGCTTTCATCAGCTATGCGGATCGCTCCGATGCGGA